ACGTGCCCTTTACCAGGAATTGAACCCACAACCCTTCCATGCATGGGCTGTTCTCTAACTACTCAAGACACACAGGCCAGGGCTGACAAATTAACTTCTAGTGGGAGATTTACAAACTTTTTTCAGTATTAGACATTGTATGATTATATTTTTCTGTGTCAACATCCCATAATGAATATTTAAAAGGGAAAATTATTGTAAAACAATCAGTATCTGTTATTCATTTCAATAAGATTCTTTATTTTGACACAGACTCATTCAACTGCAATGTTCTATTGCTAAGAAAAATGTTCATGCTGTGAGCATCACAATAGAAAGTTATAAATATTATTTAATTTTATTGATCTTTTTAATATGGTTCTTTTTTGCTGAAACTATTTTATGTTTCTGCCACTTGATTCAGTGTTTACTTGGCACCAGAAACCTAGTGATTTATGAGTAGCACTCGGAAATTTCCAGCCAACTCACTAAGATTTAGTAGCTATGATATACCAAAGCTAGATGTCAGACAAAGATGTAAATATAGTTACTATAAAAAGATTTCATCCTCATCAAAGCTTTTTAGGTTGGACTTTTGGACTTGGAAATTTTTCTTTGAAGATAGCTGTTATGCTGTGAATCCCCACTGCCATCCCAGATGGGAACGGAGTTTGCCTCTTTCCTCAAGCTTGGTGAAAGAGGTTTCAGCAGGATGCGAGAGAGCTTGATGGAGGTCTCCTGCAGTAAAGGGGGCATAATGGACCGGTGTCCTGACTTCTGACCAGGAAGTCCTGAGGATAAGAGATAGGCTATCTGACTGCTTTGGTGATAGCTCATGCGTTAGGATTTTGTGTACTCCTTGCGTTGGTCAGTTTGTGACTCAGATGGATTGAGAGAGAAAGCGAGAGTCATTGGTTGAGTGGGTGGATTCTCTTAGAACATGTCCAGTAGGGCCACCTGAAGGGGCAAACAGGCTTTACCAGAGGACAGGCTGTAAATGGACCATCAGATTCCTTTGGGTATGAGGAGGGAGTGGTTAGTTGCTGGAATAACATTCATTAGCCAGGTCAAGGGACCTGGGAGAAGCCATCGTTGGTTGGGTTGGGGTTGGTGGGGATAATCCAAAGAACCCTCTGAAGGACCCATTGAAATTGGCTTTTAAATTCCCTTTAAAGTCTGCTGGGCCCAGAGTGTGGAGTGAGGTTATGCTGCTCGCCTAGTCAGAACCTTTGGGCTTAGTTTCTCTGTCCTTCCTCCCCTTCCACTTCAGCCCTGGAGGGAGTCAGAAATGGCATCTAGCCCGGCACCTAGTGAGTAAGGGAAGAGGTGAGTCCACAAAGCAGGCCAGGGCACCCCTTGCAGGCAGGCAGCTACCTCCACTGTGCTCAAGTGTTAGGGGAAAGGGTTGGAGCAGTCTAACATTTGAATGGAAACTTTGCCTCTTACCATGTAGGCCTGTTCTGGAGATTCTTGTCCTGAATCAGCAAAATTCTTGCATCACAGGGACTTGTACTTGCTGTTGCTGCTTCTCCCTCAGGTGTCCTTGCCTTGCTCCTTGCCCCCCTTAGGGTCATTGTTCACATGTTACTTCCTCAGTGAGTCCTTCCTTGACTTCCTACTCATTATTCGGACCACCCACCCTGTTCCCCTCCAAGCCCTTACCCTGCTCTATTTTTCTTCATATTACTCATTATATAGCATGTCACAGTTTTGGTGTTAGAGTGTTTGTCCCCTTTCAAATATAAACTCCATTGAGAGCACGGAGGGGCTTTGCTATTTTCCCCCTGTTGTGTCTCCAACATCCAGAATAACAATGTATTTATTCAACAAATATTTAATTATCAAATTAAGACTATTTTGTGATTTAAAGAATCATAAATAAATTTACTCATGATTATGCACTGAGTTCTCTTTCAACATACTTGTTAAATAAGTATTCTTTTGCTTTTCATAACTAGTTTTATTGAGATACAATTAACAAACCATACAATTCATCCATTTAAAGTGTACTATTTAAGTCCTGGCCTGGTAGCTAAGCTGGTTAGAGCGTTGTCCTGAAACACCAAGGTTGCGGGTTTGATCCCTGTAAGGCAGTGGTTCTCAACCTTCTGGCCCTTTAAATACAGTTCCTCATGTTGTGACACAACCAGTGTGCCGACCACTGTCATAGAAGATGAAAACCTAGCCGTTTATTTTATCTTCATGCTCATGAAGTGAGCCTGCGTGTCATACATACAGAGGTAGTGACTGTCTCCTGGCGAGAAGGGAACGTTCACATTCTCCATCCCCTGCGTCTCCAGAGGCGTGAGAGCGCTGGAGGCTGTGTCCCTCTGGGACGAGGCTGTGGGTGGGTGGGTGTGGTCTTTAACATTTTGGGCACATGAGAGCCTGATGAGTTTGAAAAGGGGAAGAGGCAGCCCCATCTTTGCCCAGGAAAACTTCTATTTTCGCTACTCACATATTTCTCTCTGTGAGCCCCCTGGAAAGTGAGGCGTGGGCTGCCAGGCATTATCAAGAAAGATGTAAAAATGAATTTTACATGATGTTGTCTAAGGCATGTTCTGAAAATTGTATTTTAAACATGTATAAGCCCTAACCCAAATTTGACAGCCTTTTCTCAGTTACTTAAATACATTTGAAGTGTCATTTAATGAGGCTAAAATCTGAATAATGTAACTGTAATTTTCAACCTTAAAACATTTGAAGAAAGCTTAGATGTTCTTGCTATTCTACAGAATATCAAGAAACCTTAAGAACTTGTCAGTCTTCTGAAAAGAGGACATTAATAACTCCCTTTCTTGTACTTGTAACTATAGTTTCATTCACCTGAACACCTCAGAATTCCTAAAGCAGTGCTGACAACCACCAGATTTGCCAAATTTCATGTCAGTGCTGATCACTTGCTCTTGCCTCCAGAAAAAGTGCTTTTTTTCTGCATTGGTGGCGCCAGACCCAAGAAGTAACTATGTTGAGATAAGTAAAATGGAAGTTTCCTCCTGTACTAGGTAATTGTTAGTTCCCTGGTTAGACTGGAAGAAGAATCCACTATTTCATGATAAGCAGGGAGACATATAATTCATTCTACATCAGGGAATTCATTCATGAGTAAGTGGACTGTGTGTTTTGGATTAGTAAACAGTACACCTGTGACCATCATTTGAACAGACTTCACTTGTCGTCTCTGCACAGTGTGTCATGACGGACGGTGTGGTTCAGCAGCTACAGAGCTGGGCGCGAGGGAAGTCTGTGCCACAGAAGGACTTACAAAACCGAACTTGATCATTATGTGTCATTTTCTAATACAAGATGTTCAGTGTGTCTTTAGGTTACATTTATATCGTGGATTAAAATTTATAGTGAACTTTAAAAAAAAATTATTTTCATTGTTACTTCATAACTGTAGTGTTGCTACTGTTATGAATCGTAATGTAAATATCTGATATGCAGGATGGTCTTAGGTGACCCCTGTGAAAGGGTCGTTTGACCGCCAAAGGGGTCGCGACCCACAGGTTGAGAACCTCTGCTGTAAGGGCACATACAAGAATCAACCCATCACTTGGCTGGTGTGGTTCAGTGATTGAGCATCAACCCATGACTCAGGAGGTCACAGTTCATTTCCCAGTCAGGGCACATGCCCGGATTGTGGGCTCGATCCTTAGTACGGGGCATGCAGGAAGCAGCCAATTGATGATTCTCATAATTGATGTTTGATATCTCTCCCTCTCCCTTCCTCTCTGAAATCAATACAAAAAAATATAGCCTTAGCTGGTTTGGCTCAGTGGATAGAGTATCAGCCTGCGGACTGAAGGATCCCGGGTTCGATTCTGGTCAAGGGCACATGCCTGGGTTGTGGGCTCAGTCCCCAGTGGGGGTGGGGGTGCAGGAGGCAGCCGATCAATGATTCTCTATTATCATTGATGTTTCTATCTCTCCCTCTCCCTTCCTCTCTGAAATCAATAAAAATATCTAAAAAGAGTAAACATCAATTATAATAAATATGTGTGTGTGTATATATATATATATATATATATGAATCAACCAATAAAAGCATAAGTGGAACAACAAATTGATGTCTCTCTCTCTCTCTCAACACATTAAAAAAAATTAAAGTGTACAATTTAATGTCTTTTAATGTACTTGAAGAGTCATACAACCATTATCACAATCAATTTTAGAATATTTTCATGACTTTGAAAAGGAAACCGACCCTCCTTAGCCATAATTTTCCCAGCCCTAGTCACCTACTAATCTCCTTTCTGGTCTACGGCCACACCACCCTGAACGCGCCCGATCTCGTCTAATCTCCTTTCTGTCTCTACAGATATGCTGATTCTGGACACTTCAGATAAATGGAATCATACAATGTATGGTTCTTTATGACTGGTTTCTTTTACTTAGCATAATGTTTTCAAGGTTTATACATGTTGTAGTATATATCAATATTTTATTCCTGTTTATTGCTGAATAATATTTCACTACGGCTATACCACATTTTTGTACTTTCACCTATTGGACATTTAGGTTGTTCCCACTTTTATGAATAATACTGCTATAATTTATAAGTTTTTGTATGGATGTATGTTTTCAGTTCTCTTGGGTCTATACTTAGAAGTGGCATTGCTGGGTTATATATTTACTCTGTGTTTAATCTTTTGAGGACTACCACATTGTTTCCCAAGGTAGCTGAACCATTTTATATTCTCACCAGCTGTGTATGATGGTTCCAGTGTCTCCACAACCTTCTGTACTTGTTACCCAACATTTATTACCTGTTTGTTTTTTTTAATTTTATAGCCATCCTAGTGGATGTGATGTGGTATCTCGTGGTTTTGATTTGTATTTAATAACTAATGAAATTGACATCATTTCGTGTGTTTATTGACCATAGTTTTTCGAGAAATGTCTATTCAGATCCTTTGCCATCTTTTAAAAAATTGAGTTATTATCTTGTTATTGTCCTTTGCTTTTTGACTAGGATTTTTAAAAAATGGATTCTGGTTTTCTTTCCTACTCTTCTTCAGGTAGAAGAAGTGAAGCGAAGGCAGTACTCCCTTGCATTCAGCTCAGCTGGAGCCCAGGCTCAGACCTATCATGTCAGCTTTGAGACTTTGGCTGAGTACCAGAGATGGCAACGGCAAGCATCCAAGGTGATAAGCTGTCAAATGGCATGATGTGGCGATAAGAATGTAGAAGCCCAATAGAAATGTATTTTGAAACTAAACTTAATTCCAAGAGAGTGAATTATAATTCTTACTAGTACACATTTTATTCTAGGCCTTTTTTTTGAGTATATAATGAATGAAATAAAGGAATTATTGACAGGTCTTTAACTTATTTATATTTGGATAGTACAAAATGCTTTCAGAAGTATTTTAAGGTGCATTTACCTTTTATGCCACTTCTGTGTGGAGGGTAAGGCCTTGAAGGAATGAGATTCAAATGATTTTCCGTGGACCGTAGTAGTTGGTGATGGATGGAATTATTCCCTAACTGGTAGCCTAGTTTCCTTGGTCTGTTTCCATTTAGCACAGCTTTGATGAACCACTTCAGATTTGAACTTAAGATGGGACATGACCTGTGATCCTGCCACAAACCATTATTCCTGTATGCTGAGGATAATTAGCTTTTCAGCGTAATTTCTACTTTTTTAGCCCGTAATGACAAGTGCTCTAAAGTTGTATTGCAATTTCTAAGTCCTCCTGTTTGCAGAATTTTAACACATTTTTCTTTGTGGAACTAAGTAATTGCATAAAGGGTTGTGTCAATATAATGACCTGTCATCAAAACATGAATGACTTCTCCAGTGGTATTTTGTTTGTTTTGGTTTTTTTTTAGACCCATTTTTTAGAACCCATGTTTTACTAGCATACTATTGTAGAAATATAAACCTCATTTTTGTCTTATTGGATTTTCTGTACTTATATTGTGTAATAAAATCTGCTCGGTATAAATCTAGTTTCAATTTTTAGTAGCTATTGCATTCTTTTGCCCTGAGAAGTTAATATTTTTTGAGCATCTTTTGAATGCTAAGCAGTGTGCTGTGTGCTTGATTATTTAATTTTATCTTCACTTGTGCAGATGTAGAAACTGTACTAGTGAGTAGCACAGTTCATGTGGCTACAGAAGGCCATGTCTTTCAATATCTCACTGCCTCCCAAAGTTTCGTGGTTAGTTTGAATCATCTTAACTTTACTTCTTGCATGAAATGTTACTTTTCCATCTTTATGATTTATATTTCTTAATCTTTTGCTTATAGACATTTTACAGCATGCCTTTGTGTATTCCTAACAGCTTATGGTTTTAGGAAAAGTAAATATTAGCTGGTTTTTATAAATGAATAATTAGGTCTCATTGCCTTTTTTTCTTCTCCTCTTTTTAACCCGGGCCTTTTTGTGTAAATGCCGTTCCATGCTGTGCTGGGCGAGAGCATGCAGTACTAGCTCAGATGCTCTTCTCTTTGACCTTATTCAGGTGGTGTCCCAGCGAATCAGTACTGTCGACCTCTCATGTTACAGCCTCGAGGAGGTTCCTGAGCATCTCTTCTACAGTCAAGATATCACCTACCTCAACTTGCGACATAACTTCATGCAACTAGAAAGGCCAGGGGGCCTTGACACTCTTTACAAGTATGTGGAGAATAGGTTTTCGGACTAACATTAAAAATGAATCATAGCCCTAATCGGTTTGGCTCAGTGGATAGAGTGTTGGCCTGCGGACTGAGGGTCCCAGGCTCGATTCTGGTCAAGGGCATGTACCTAGGTTGCGGGCACATCCCTAGTAGGGAGTGTTGCAGGAGGCAGCTGAATCGATGTTACTCTCTCATCGATGTTCCTAACTATCCCTCTCCCTTCCTCTCTGTAAAAAAAATCAATAAAATATATTTTTTAAAAAATGAATCATAATCAGTACTTTAGTGGTTTTACTTAGGCGTGAGTATGCTTATCATCATCTACGTATTTTCCATTTTTGAAGAGGAAGTAAAATTTTTTATACAGTTTTCCCATTTTCCTTCCCCCTCTATAAAACAGAAAATAGATGCAAAATTTCTGTTACGGAGGCAACATTGAACTGTCATTGATCTAGATTATCTTCTGAATTTACTGATAGTGATGTAGCCAGGGTAAATTGAGAGATTCAGTTTATGGAAGTTTTCGAATCAAAAGTATCAAACATAAGTGACTTAAAGGGAATAGGCCTAATTGAAAGAATTCCACTCCCAGGTTAGGGCTTTTATTTTTCCTTTGAATGTGCTACTGCCAACTCTAACCTTTTACTAGCTATGAAACTTCCCTCTTCTAATAGTGAACTATTTCATTCCTAAGGGACTAAGGTATGACCCATATATTTTCCATTTCCTTTGTTAAAATATATTTCCTATTCCCAGTCTGCACTCATGTCACCTCCCTCTTCCCTTTGAAAATGGATGGCAGTGAATAAATATATGGTATAAGTAATTATCTGGGCTTCTTATGGGGAGGGGAGAAATTGGAAATTAAAGCAGTCAAATTACATGGTGATTAAAAAAATAGTACACATTGAAGTGACATTTTATGTACTTCCTTAGTAACTGATATTTCTAGAATAAATTACAGAAAGCTGTATGATTTTTATCTCACATTTTACAAAGTTTTTCAACTTTAAGCCTATGATTAGTAATGAGATCATTGTTTTAATAATATTGGTATTTAAAAAATAAAAACAAGCTATAATTTTAAGGAAGTGTTTTTTTTAACATTACCTTCTGAGTTGCTGTGAAAATACTGTAAATCTAGTTTGAGGGTTGGATTAGGAAATCAGAAGTTAAGGCACCAAGGCCACAATCAGTATTCAATGTCAGTATAATTAGAAATCAAGAGTTGAGCCCTGGCCTGTTTTTCTCAGTGGTTAGAGCATCAGCCCATGGACTGAAGAGTCGGGGGTTCAATTCCGGTCAAGGGCACATACCTCGATTGCAGGCTTGATCCCAGCCCCAGATGGGGCACATGTGAGAGGCAACCAGCTGATGAGTCTCTCTCACATTGATGTTTATCTCTCTCTGTCTTTCCCCCTTCCTTTCATTCTCTCTAAAAAAATCAATGGAGAAAATATCCTCGGGTGAGGATTAACAAAACAAAAACAGAAATCAAGAGTTGAAAATTTGGAAGAGGAGTATTAGTGTGAGGTACAAGGATTCAAATCTGGAAGCAGGTGATACAGAGCTTCACCGTGGAGAACACCGCCTCAGCCTTACCATCTTGCACCAGTGTATAGTGAAGTACAATACTCCAAAGGAGCATTCATTACCATAGTGACTTCTGCGGGTCCAATTTAGATTAATACTATCTCTGGCTAAGACAGTAGAGATACTTTCACTTGTACCAACAAAATAGAATCACTAGTAATTACTATTTTGTGTTGTCATATTATAGATCATATTACAGTAAAACTCCATATTATATACATGTCTTAAGCTTCATATAAGTGGCCCATTCATTTCAAGTGACATTTGAACCAATATAATTTCAATATGAAGAAAAGTTGCTTATAAAGGGATTTGGTCTACATGTTAGCTATTCCTGTGTCTATGACAGTGATGGCGAACCTTTTGAGCTCGGCGTGTCAGCATTTTGAAAAACCCTAACTTGACTCTGGTGCCGTGTCACATATAGAAATTTTTTGATATTTGCAGCCATAGTAAAACAAAGACTTACATTTTTGATATTTATTTATTTATTTAATTAAATCTTTATTGTTCAGATTATTACAGTTGTTCCTCTTTCCCCCCCCATAGCGCCCCTCCACCCGTTTCCCACCCCACCCTCCGCCCTCACCCCCCAACCCCCACTGTCCTCATCCTTAGGTGCACAATTTTTGTTCAGTCTCTTCCCATATCCCCCACACCCTTTCCCCCCCAAGAATAGTCAGTCCACTCCCTTTCTATGCCCCTGTTTCTGTTATATTCACCAGCTCATTCTGTTCATCAGATTATTTATTCACTTGATTTTTTAAGATTCACTTGTTGATAGATGTGTACTTGTTGTTCATAGTTTGTATCTTTACCTTTTTCTTCTTCTTCCTCTTCTTAAAGGATACCTTTCAGCATTTCATATAATACTGGTTTAGTGGTGATGAACTCCTTTAGCTTTTTCTTATCTGTGAAGCTCTTTATCTGACCTTCAATTCTGAATGATAGCTTTGCTGGATAAAGTAATCTAGGTTGTAGGTTCTTGCTATTCATCACTTTGAATATTTCTTGCCACTGTCTTCTGGCCTGCATAGCTTCTGTTGAGAAATCAGCTGAGAGTCGTATGGGTACTCCCTTGTAAGTAACTGAGTTTCTTTCTCTTGCTGCTTTTAAGATTCTCTCTTTGTCTTTTGCTCTTGGCATTTTAATTATGATGTGCCTTGGTGTGGTCCTCTTTGGATTCCTTTTGTTTGGGGTTCTCTTCGCTTCCTGGACTTGTAAGTCTATTTCTTTCACCAGGTAGGGGAAGTTTTCTGTCATTATTTCTTCAAATAGGTTTTCAATATCTTGCTCTCTCTCTCTTCTTCTGGTACCCCTATACTTCAGATGTTGGTATGCTTGAAGCTGTCCCAGAGGCTTCTTACACTCTCTTCATATTTTTGGATTCTTTTTTTCATTTTGCTTTTCCAGTTGGGTGTTTTTTGCTTCTTCATATTTCAAATCTTTGACTTGATTCTTGCGGTCCTCTAGTCTGCTGTTGGGGGTCTGTATAATATTCTTTATTTCAGTCAGTGTATGCTTAATTTCTAGTTGGTCCTTTATCAGAACCTCGAGGGTCTCATTAGATTTCTTGAGGGTCTCATTAAGTTTATTGGTGGTTTCTAGAAAATTCTTGAAAAACCTTAAAAGTGTGGTTTTGAACTCTATATCCAGTAGTTTGCTTTCCTCCATTTCTGTCATTTGTGTCCTGTTTCTTTGTCTCCGCATTTTTTATGCTTTGCTGTGTTGATAGAGTGGCTTTCTGTGCTAGGTGTCCTATAGGGCCCAGTGGCTCAGCCTCCCCAATTACCTGAGGTAAACACTCTTGGTGCACCCCCTTGTGGGCTTTGTGCACAGTCTTGTTGTAGTTAAGCCTTGATTGTTGTAGGTAATACTGGGAGGGATTGACCTCCAGGCCAATTGGCCGTGAGAATCAGCTGTGTCTGCAGTGGGAGAACTTCTGTGCTAGAGACACCCCTCTGGGGCAAGACTTGCTTCAATGGGGCTTTGGTGGTCACTCTTGATACTTATTTTATATATTTAAATGCCATTTAACAAAGAAAAATCAATAAAAAAAAATGAGTTTGCATGTCACCTCTGACATGTGTGTCATAGGTTCGCCATCACTGGTCTATGAGTTGATTAATTGTTGCTAGGTCTTTGTTGTATTGCATGTAGAAATTTAATAAAGGAAAAGATTTCAAGTATATCAGTGTGACTTAATTATACCAACATAAGCTTGTCTTCAAGATTTTTTGCCTTTTTAAGGAAAAGAGAGACCTCCCATCACACTAGAACTGGTTCCCTTGTAGCCTGGACTGAGCATTGGTCATTTTAGCATCTGTGCTGTGCCAAATGTGGCACATAGTGAGAGCTCAGTGAATATTTGTGGAACAAATTCTATGATGAGCATTTAAATAGATTGCTTTCTCATTCAGTAGTATATATGTAAATAATTTGTGCTTTTGCTTTTTAGATTTTCTCATCTGAAGGGCCTGAACTTGTCCCATAACAAACTTGGGTTGTTTCCTGTATTGTTATGTGAGATTTCTACACTGACTGAGCTAAATCTTTCCTGTAATGGATTTCACGACCTGCCAAGTCAGATTGGCAATCTCCTAAAGTAAGTATCATGACTTGTCACTAGTTTCTTCGTATCCCTGGCAGAATAAGTTACTGGTCTGGCATTTGGACTGAAAGTAGTACCATGTGCTCTCCCAGTGAAATAAGTCCTGTAATTATGAGCATTCTGTCAGCAGCAGTTACTTGCCTACAGCAGTGACTAGTGTCCCTCATTTCAATAGCAGAGGCTCTGGCTATTTTTGATGTTGGAGGGACCATCAATGTCAACTATGTTTAAGCCATCTTACTAAGTTTCTATAGATACTTAGGACATTTTATCATTTATTGGATTCATAAAAATTAGTGACATAAATTAGAATCCATAATTCTAGTTCTGTCCATTCCAGTTAAAACATTTCATAAAGTAGACTTGTTTTGTTTTCTTCCTATAGTCTTCAAACTCTCTGTCTTGATGGCAACTTTCTGACTACTTTGCCTGAAGAATTGGGAAATCTGCAACAGCTTTCCTCCCTTGGAATTTCCTTCAACAACTTCAGTCACATTCCCGAGGTGTATGAGAGACTCACCGTGTTAGACAAAGTGGTTATGGCAGGAAATCGACTGGAAGTCCTAAACCTAGGGGTGCTGAGCAGGATGAGCCATATCAAGCACGTAGACTTGAGGTAAGGTCACTTGTTACCATATCTCCTTTAGATGGACCTCTCGTGGATCTTTAGGCTTTCTCTTTATAAAGGCTTTTTTAAAACATCAGGCTTTTAAAGCTGTGGTTTCAAAGATGTAACAAAGCTTCACCTTTCAATCAATAGAGATTATTAATGAGGTATATAGATGTTCCACATGGTAAGACGTTGACAAATTGCCTTTGACAAAGGTTATTTAACTCACCTCCCAGCAACATTTTATGAGAATTCCTATTTCCTCCCATCCTTGTCAATGTTGGATTTTAGCAGTCTTTCTCCTTATTGTCAGTGCAGTAGATAGGAATAGTATTTCTTTGTGTTCATCAATTTTTATGATTGAGGTTGAGCATCTTCTTAATGCTTATTGATTGGCAGTTTGTGTTTTTCTATAAACTTGACCATTTTTCTGTTGAATCATTGGGTTTCTTCTTGATATCCATTTATTATAATTAAAATGTTAAAAGGTTTTACTACTAATTATTTTTTAAGAATTCTATTTTTTAGTTATATTTTCCTAAGGGAAGCTGTAAAAGACACACACGAGATGTTCTGTCATTTACACTAAGCCTTTGCTATCCTTCTAAAGATATAGTAATAGAAAAATGTATTGGACTACAAGAAAATGAAAACAGGCCTGCGTGCCTTAAGTAATATACTTGTATATAAGAGAACCAAGAAGCCATTTTCTATAATTTTCCCTTGAACTATTCCATGTAGATGCCAATTATTTTCCTCCCCATTAATTAATGTAATGTGAATCTTAGCACTAGAGAGAACAGGCAGAGCAAGGGGAGGGAGGCAGTGTGGGCTGCTTCCTCTGGCTTTTTCTGTGGCCTCCTTTCCTGCTTTGCTGCTCACTAACCCAGAAGTTATGTCCGTCTTCTGGTCCTTGGTTCTATCCCTTCGTCCCTACCTCACTTTATTAGATATCTGGGTGGAAGTTAACTAACTTTGTGGGATCATGGTTCTTTTTTCCTTTCTCCTTATTTAACTTGTTATGTATTTGCCAGTCTGGATTATCTGATTTAAAATAAAGAACTTAAGGTACAGCTATCTGCAAGATACTTTGAACTTCAGATATTTACTAAATATTTAGTCCTTTGCCAGTTTCTAATCTAAAACCTCGTGCTGCCTCAGTTCTAGAATCAGAAGGACTTCTCTTTTGACTGCCTTTAATCATGTGACAGAAGCTTAACTTAGTACCTTGCAAAATGAGGCAAGTAGTGAAATTCTTAAGTTGTTTAGAAAGAGAGAAAGACATCATACCTCTCCTATTTTTCTTTTGATAAGCATATTTGGTAGATTTTATTTCTAATGATTTCCTTATTTTTGAATATTAAGGATGAACCATTTGAAAACCGTGGTAATTGAAAATCTGGAGGGAAATAAATACATCACCCACATGGATTTGCGGGACAACCAACTGACTGACTTAGATCTTAGCTCCTTCTGTAGCTTGGAGCAGCTGCATTGTGAGCGGAACCAGCTGAGGGAGCTGACACTCAGTGGCTTCTCCCTGCGGACTCTCTACGCCAATTCCAACAGTGAGTTCTCTGCCCAGCTTCCTTTTTCTTCTCTTACAGCTCTCATCAGAGCTTTCTAAGAACAATGGCATCTCTGGTGGTCCTCACGCTCTCTGTAAAATAGAATTTGAGGTTTATTGAGACCTAGCCTTGTCTTTTCAGTTTGCTTTCAAAACTGAAGTGGTTGAAATATGCATACAAAAGACATTACAAGATGCTTTGAGCTTCACTAAGTGCCAAATATTTACTAAATATTTAACCCTTTGCCAACTTCTAATCTAAAACCTTGTGCTGCTGCCTCAGTTCTAGAAAGAGAAACCCCTCGTTTTGATAGTGATTTGCTCCAGGAATATTTTCCAATGTAAAAGGCCTGTTATTTGTTGAGGTCATTTTTTAATGGAGAGTTCATCTTTACCAAAGAGGTTATAGTTACTTTTTCTGTGTTTCAAGAAGGAAAGGAAAAAATGTTCAGTTTCACTAAGTGTCAGAGGGATTAAAATTTAAATAATACCATTTTATACTCATCAAATAAAAAAAAATAATGCTAAGTGCTATTGAAGATAGGGAGAGGCAGTGCCTTATACACTGCTAGTCTGAGTGTGGTTGATAAAACCCCCTTGGAGAGCAGTGTGCGGTGTTGGAGAAGGTGAAGACACACAGGGCCCTGCTTGGAATATCTCCCAGAGACACTAATGTGTAGAAGGAGATGTGTACAAGAATGCTTATCATAGCATTGTATTTGTTATAGTGAAAAAAATTAAAAATATGACTATTAATAGGGAAACTAAGCCATGACATATTTGTATGATAGAATATTGCACAGCAATGGAAATCAAGGTACTAAAGCTTTGTGTGTTAATATGGATAAATCTCAGAAGCACTTTTGTGTAAAAAAAGGAAGTGCATAATTATATGTACTAGGATAGTTATCAAATTTTAAAACACATAAAAATGTTTTTTTCTTAGCTATAAGTATGCCATAACACTATGAAAGAATCCATGGGAATGATAAAAATCATATTCAGGATGATGTTTACCTGGTATGTGCAGTGTTTCAATTCTTAATTTAAAAAGTGGAGCATATTAGGCAGAATGTCAAAATTTGTTAAAAGCTACATGATACGTAGAAGAGAGTGTTCATTATTTTGTTGTCTTTTCTGTATCTCTAAAATGCGTTATTAGGATAAAAAATAGTTAAGGAATTCTTTTGATGCCTTTAACCATGTTACAGAAACTTCAAATTATAGCTGTGATTAGGTCAGAATAGTGTCACTGCTGATGAGTGTTGTGCTGTTTATAGATATTGTGAGAGGATAGTAGGTCTTTTGTCATGGAAATATTATCAGGACCATTTTCTATTCTTAATGTATCTAAAGATCTGAATAACTGGCTCCTTTGGAAAAGACCTTATTGACATAGATGCAGTCCTTCTTAGTAACCAAGGTTCTGTCACAGTACTGTACTAAATGGGGCCTTATCGAACTTAGCTATTCAGTTTACAGAATCCTTAAATTCAGCAAGCTGGAAGAATTCATATCAACACTTGCAGTTTTGACGCCTCAATAGTAAAGGACTCAGCTTCGCAAAAGAAGTTATCCAATGATCAGCTACTATAGGAAAAGGCAGTCAACTTCACAGGTCATTGGGGATATGCAAACTGACCCCTGCACACATACCAGAGTGATACCACTGCACACATACCATAGGGACTAGAATGAGAGACTGAAAATACCAGTGTCAGTTGTTGGGAGTGTAAACTGGTACAACCACCCCGGAAAACTGTTCAGTATATGCACCCCCTATAATCAACAGTTCTCTCCTAAGCTTATCTACACTAATAAAAGACAAACATGCAAATTGACTGTACCTTCACTATGCCTTAAGCAACACCCACCAGCCAATCAGAGCGACTATATGCAAATTAACCCAACCAAGATGGCGGCCGGCAGCCACGGAGCTGGAGCAAGCAGGAGGCTTGGTTGCCCTAGTGATGGAGGAAGCCAAGCTTCCTGCCTGCTGTGGCTGGCTCTGAGCTCCACTCAAGCCAACAAAGTTTCAGTTATAGAAGATAATAAACCCCAGATACCTGCTTTCAGCCGGCCGTGGCCACGGAGCTGGAGCGAGCAGGAGGCTTGGGTTGCCCCTGGCGATGGGGGAAGCCAAGCTTCCTGCCTGCCCTGGCTGGCTCTGAGCTTCACTCAAGGCTACAAAGTTTCAATTATAGAAGGTAAATAAATCCCAGAATAAAAGAAAAAATGTAGAGGCTGGGAGCTTTCTTCGCTGGGGGGCTTGGCCAACCTGAAAACGGCCCTCAGCCCCTCACCCAGACGGGCCAGGCACCCCAGTGGAGACCCCCACCCTGAAGGGGGTGTGACCAGCTGCAAACAGTCATCAGCCCCTAACCCAGGCTGGCTAGGTACCCCAGTGGGGACCCCCACCTTGAAGGGGGTATGACCAGTCTGCAAACACCTATCAGCCCTTCACCCAGGCTGGCCAGGCACCCCAGCGGGACCCCCACCCTGATCCGGGACACCCTTCAGGGCAAACCAGCTGGCCCCCACCCATGCACCAGGCTTCTATCCAATATAAAAAAGGGTAATATGCAAATTGGCCCTAACAGCAGAACGACTGGGAATGACTGGTTACTATGACACACACTGACCACGAGGGGGCAGATGCTCAATGCAGGAGTTGTCCCCTGGTGGTCAGTGCGCTCCCACAGGGGGAGCTCTGCTCAGCCACAAGCCAGGCTGATGGCTGCCAGCACAGCGGTGGTGGTGGGAGCCTCTCCCGCCTCCTCAGCAGCACTAAGGCTGTCCGACTGCAGCTTAGGTCTGCTCCCTGCTGGTGAGTGGACATCCCGCGAGGGCTCTTGTCCTGCCAGAGGGATGTCTGACTGCCAGCTTGGGCCCAATCACCCCAGGGAGCGGGCCTAAGCCAGCAGGTGGTCATCCCCCGAGGGATCCCAGACTACAAGAGGGCACAGGCCGGGCTGAGGGACCCCCCTCCAAGTGCACAAATTTTTGTGCATCGGGCCTCTAGTACTCAACATAAATGCTTATATTAGTCCACAAAAGATATGGAAAAAATATTCATAGAAGCACTATTTGTAGTCACCCCAACTCGAAAAGACTTCAGTGTTGTAACCCTAAAATGAATAAACAAATTGTGGTACAGTCATATAAACAGTTTCGTATTGCCGGGAGAATGAATGAACTACACCCACATGCAGTAATGTGAACAGATCCCACAAGTGCAATAAGGAGTGAACGAAGCCAGATCAGAAACTTTACAGACTGTATGTGTAATTTATGTAAATAAGCAAAAGTAGCCTGTGGTATAGGGAGCAAGGGCAGCGAGGGGCGGAGACTGGAAGGCGAATGAGAGGAAGCTCCTGGGAGCTGGTAATGGTCCGCTTTCTAAGTGGGCACTGGCTACACTGGTGTGTTCTGTGTGTAAAAATGTAGCGATCTGTGCGCGTAAGATTGTTGCCCTTTTCTGTATCTATGTTGTACTGTAGTTGAAAGTTAAAATATTGCCAGTGAAAATCCAATTATCAATTTTTAAAAAATTAAGTAGATACTGTTAACAACTGCCTTGTCTGGCGTGAGTCCAGTGCAGTACACACGATCCTTCATTCGTTGTATTTGGTCTTCAGACTGGGACCACGCCATTCATGTGCGTTACCCAGTGGCTTTTGTCTTTAGTTCATGTCAGTAGGTGGCCTGTTTTCTTTCTGACGCTGTCACTTTTTCCTTATTTACTTTCAGTTACTTTCTTCTTTAGACAACGTTACTGACACCCTTTTGTTTTTCAATTAGGGCTGACAGCAGTGAATGTCTATCCAGTACCCAGTCTTCTCACATCTTTAGAACTTTCCAGGTGAGTGTGCTTCATAAAGGTGGTGCTTGTTTGATTCCCAATATTTAAAAGACATACGTGGATAATTTGGCAGTTTTGAGGCACAAGAAATCTAAATACTTCTGAAGTCCCTCCCTCCCTTCCACATGTATCACCACTCACTTAGGCCTATATCATCTCTTGTCTGGAATTCTGTAACAGCTTCCTGAATAGTCTTCCTTTTACTAATATAATCATCTCAACCAGACCTCAGTGTAGCCACAGAGTGAACTTTTTAAATTACAAAACTGACATTGTACTTACTTACTAATTCTTCAGTGATCCCCCTATACCTGCAGGGTAAAGTCACAGTCTTCTGGACATGATTTCGTTTTCTCCAGCCTGTTTCTTACCACTCTCTGCTCCGTTTCCCCAAACTGCTTGTTATAATTCCCACATGTTCCATGCCATTTCTTTCCTTGCCTTTGTGTTCTCACTCATGTTGTCCCCTCTTTCTTAGAATGTCCTCCTCTCTTCAGGTCATTGTCCCACATTCTTCAAATTCTAACCCAGATGTCCTATTTCTTGGGGAGCTCGCCTTGATCCATTCCAGACAAAGTGCTTCTTTCACTCAGCCATCGTAGCTGTATCTTCATTTCTCTTACAGCCCTCACTTCATTCTGCCTCGTCGTCTCAATCGACTGATCAGTAGGTACATTGAGGCCAAGAGAGACTGAGTAATATCTGAAAATAAAAGTATTTTTACTAGGTGTCTGCTCAGTGCTCTACCAAATATTTGCTTTCACATTTTAAATGTTTTGAAGCCCCCCACTAGTTATCTTGTGCCCCTTCTTCCTCACTTTTATTCATTTTGTTCATTTTCCCCAGAATTTGCTATTCTTCTTCCCCAGTTATTACCTGTAGCCATCTTCAAAGGTTTGTTTAAAATGCCACTTCTTCCATTAAGTCTTTCCACATCTCTCCTTCAGTCATCCCATCATATGTATGCTTTCCTGCTGTTGAGAGCCTTTGTATCTTCTTTGAGCATGCAGTATAATCGATCCAGGAGTATACATGTTTGAGTGCTTATCTCTGTCCACCTCTCTATCAGCGACATTCATTGAGCACCTCGTGCATTCCAGTGGTGGACCAAGAATGCTTAGGTATAGTGCTCCTGCCCTCAAGGGGCTCATGGGCCAATTAATAGATATATTACAGACTAATGAAATGAGTTCCACTCATCATCGTAAATGATGGCTTGTGTTGATTCATTTTTGATAGAAACCAGCTGGAATGTGTCCCTGACTGGGCCTGTGAAGCAAAGAAGATAGAAGTATTAGATGTGAGCTATAATCTTCTGACAGAGGTTCCTATGAGGTATGTGTGTGTTAATATATATTATGTATGTATATAATGATATCTGTGTGTGTATGCATGTATTTAATTATTCTCCTAGATTGGGTTACTTTGTATAGGTACTTTCATTTATTTGTTCAATAATTATTCAGTACCTGCTGAGTGCAGGGCAGTGTGAAGTGCTGTGAGGGATATAGTAACAGCTAATGCATAGGCTGGCCTGTAAGCAACTTAGTAATAAGCAGGTAGTTGAGGGGACTTGTGCACAGATAACTGATAAAACGTAACAGGTTGCAGGCGTAGGTTGGTGATATGATACTTAGAATAGATACTTTTTATTAGATGAGTTATTGTGAGCTGGGCAAAGTTCTGAGAACTTTACTTTTACATAGTCCTTTGACAGCGTTATTATATAGGTGCTGTTATCCTCACCTTACAGATGAGGAAACTCAGGCTTGGAGTGGCTCGGTAACTTGCCCAAGGTCACACTTACCTAGGAAGTCGTGAGTGCTGACATTGCAATGTTGTCATTTCTTTTTTATTAAATCTTTACCCGAGGAGTGAGGATATTTTTTCCATTGATTTTTAGAGAGAGTGGAGGGGCAGGGAGAGAGAAATACCAATGTGAAAGAGACACTTCATTGGTTGCCTCCCACACGTGCCCCGAACCAGCAACCCAGGTATGTGCCCCCGGTCACACCAGGAACCAAGTCCGAGACCTTCGGTATGCAGGCTGACGCTCCAAGCACTGAGCCACGCCGGCAAGTGCTGAATGTTGTCATTCTTGCCTTCACTTTTCATCACTGCACTGTATAAATAAAATGTTGTAGAAATTCAGAACTTTAATAATTATAAGATACAAGATGGTGGGACTTCTGCATGTGGGGAGGGGGGGAAGAGAGAGGTGCTTGGGAGAGGGGGTAAGTGGTATATTTACAAGCATTGAATACACCGTTTATAGAAGGTATAAAATGTTATCATCTAGTGGAGTGTTTTAAATTAAACTAGAGGCTTTCGTAGCATAGTAGGTATGAATACAACCTTGGGAATCAGGCCTTAGTTCAAATACTACTATGCCATTGACTACGTTCAATGTGAGATATTTGGCAAATCAGTCACTATTTCTTCTGAACCTCATATTTAAGTGGCCTAGCACAGTGATGGCAAACCTTTTGAGCTTGGCGTGTCAGCATTTTGAAAAACCCTAACTTAACTCTGGTGCCGTGTCACATATAGAACTTTTTTGATATTTGCAACCATAGTAAAACAAAGATTTATATTTTTGATATTTATTTTATATATTTAAATGCCATTAACAAAGAAAAATCAACCAAAAAAATGAGTATGCGTGTCATAGGTTCGCCATCACTGGCCTAGCACATTTTAAGCACAGAATAGTGGCTTTGTTATAATGAATTTTGTTATTTATTATAGTTACCTATATTAATAGATTCACTCAATTCTAGAATAAATCGATTTATTTTAGAAATTTTTTGTTTAGATCTGTTCTATGCTGGTTGCTTTCATTAACTCACCTTTTCCAGGATGACCGTAAGGACTTCCTGGTGGAGGTGGGTAAACATATGGCCATGGCTGCTTTCTTGGCTCAGGCACTTGTCAGGGATTATACTGTCTCGAAGAGTATGTTTCTATTCATTTTACTCATTTAATTAAACAGCCAAGGGCAGACTCAGAAAGAAAGACTTAAGTAAGTTTTTTGTTTCTTTGTACTGTCCCCCCCTCCCCGCCCACTTCCAGAATTCTTAGCAGCTTGAGTCTTAGGAAACTGATGGTGGGACACAATCACGTGCAGAACCTCCCAGTGCTCATGGAGCACATCCCTCTGGAGGTATTGGACATCCAGCATAACCTGCTCACCAGGCTGCCGGACACCCTCTTCTCCAAGGCCTTAAAGTAAGTACTGCACTGCTTGTCATTGGGGTGACCTTTGGAACTAGATTTATAGTTTACCTCATAGTCCAGCTATGGGTGGAGTCATTTGTACTTTCTATGAAATAAAATATGACACTTTTTTATGAAGTGGTAATCTTCGACTCTAGGACTGAAATAACCATCAAATACGTAAGAAGTTTTGGTGGTGTAAACAGTTTCAAACAGGTGGCTTTCATCTCAGAAAACAAATACAATTATGACCTTTAAAGAGAAATTGCAGTGCTCTTATGCCTCTTTCTTGGCATTTTTAGCTTTTTCATTAGGAGAAAAGGACATACCACTAAAGTTAATTTTGCTTCTAGCTTTACCAAGCTATCATTGAGTTTTATTCTTATTTGCATCACTCTTTTACTACCTACTTTGAAACTGTGCATTTAAAGGTAACACTGTTTCAGAAGGTGTTACTTGCTTTCTCATTGTAAATTAGCAATAAATAATGTTTTTTTACTTTAACATCCATAATCAGGTATATCTAATGTGTATGTCACCCACCATTCAATGAAGATTCGTTTTTAATTATAGCCTTCTGCAATATGGAGAAGACAATATTATCTTCAGTTTAGAAATGGAGAAAATAGAGATAAGCACTAGTAATTTAACATAGGCTATAGCAGTGATTTTCAACTGGTGTGCTGCAAGAATTTTTAAAACATGTGATACCTGACTGTTTAGTCAGGGGCACTGATCGCTTTTCTCTTAGATTGTCACATAAAATAATGACAACAGCCAACACAAGCCCTCTGATGTGAGTGAATCAAAATTATACCTTTTTTTGTCAGATCAGCAAGAAATATAATATCTTTTTTGGTGTGCACAGAATTTCAGTAGTTTATATGTGCCATGAGATGCAAAGGTTGAAAATTGCCGGCTACAGGAAACATACAAAAAGCATTTAGCCTACAAGTGTCTGGCTTGTTCTTTGTGTGGCAGCTTATATATCTCACTCAATACACTTGGTTGGACTTTCCAAAAAATAAAATCTTTGGAAATTCTAAAAAATGTTTGTATATAAAAAGAAAAAAACAGTGTTTGTATATATAATACATATTGTAAGTATAATTGGTTGCCCTTTCTGGAGCTCAGTTTGGCAATATATATGAAAAATTTAAAGATATATCTATCTTTTGACCCCAACCAATTTTGCTTCTGGGAATGTAGTATAAATAAATAATTGGATAAGGATACAAAGGTGCTCATTATAATGTCTGTAATAGCAAACAGTTGGAAACAGCGCTGTGCCCATTATTAGGAGATTATAAGGGGCTTGGCTAAATAAATATGATGATGTTGAAATCTGACAAAAAATTTTTCTGAAGGGTGTCTTCACAGTTTGAATATTTGTGAACATGATACTCAACAGCACTCTTTCGGGGGGACATAAAGACAGTAAAAAATGAAGCTAAGGTAGACTTCAGGCCACTACAGAAGCCCGGGACTACTACCAAGCCTGAATGATTTCCTGTCTGTCTGGCTTGCATGAGTTGAGTAAAAGGAAATTTGGTTGTTAGAATCAATTAGAGAAAACTACCTGGAGGAAGTTTCATTTGTCATGAGTTTTGGAGCATGTAATGGCAGTGTTCCCTACTGAGATGGCATGATGTTTTCTACCTAAGGCAATAAATAACCATGCAGGAAACGGTGTGTGTGTGCTCTGTCAGCCTCAGGTACTTGAATGCATCCGCAAATAGTCTGGAGTCCTTGCCATCTGCTTCTGCAGGGGAGGAGAGCCTGAGTGCCCTGCAGCTGCTCTATCTGACCAACAACCTCCTGACAGATCAGTGTGTGCCTGTCCTGGTCGGGCACCCACACCTGCGAATCTTGCATCTTGCAAACAACCAGCTACAAACTTTTCCCGCAAGGTAAACAAATGCACACCTTGGCCATTTCAGACAAATAACACGCATTCTGCATTTGTTAGACCACATTGCCGCTATCTCACTAGGTACTCTTGCTTTATGTGGAGTGACTTACGATTCCACTAGTTGAATGGGAAAGTGTTTGTACCTAGTTGTTACGTATCAATAACCAGAGAAGTTGTGGTTAAAATGTGTTAAATTCTTAGTTGTAGTTAGCTGATAATGAATGGTCTGAGAATTTTCAGCCTAGAAAAGTACAGGCTTATGAAATAAATTAAAGAAATTCCGGAGACAATTGTGTGTGTTTTTTTTTCATTCAGCACTGCTTCATAAAAGTACTGTTGAGTCCATTAATTTATTCATTATATACAGTGGATCCTTGAACAAGCTGGGTGCTAGGGGGAGCCAACCCCCATACAATCGATAATCCACATGTAACTTTTCACTCTACAGTTGGCCTTTTGCATATGTGGATTCCACTAACTGTGAATGCAAAACAATATGTTTGATCTGCAGCTGGGAGACCGTGGTTGGGAATGTGAAAATGCTGTATCCCATCCACAGTTGGTTGAATCCATGGGTGGAAACCTGTGGGCATAAAGGGCCAAGTGTATTTATTGAAAAAAATCAGTGTATAAGTGGACGAGCACCGTTCAAGCCCATTTTGTTCAGTCAGCTGTCTATATTGAATGCCTACTCTATGTCAAGTGCTGTGTAAGCACTGGGGAAGCAGTGCCGATTAAGTTACAGCCTCTGTCCTCAAGTTACTTACAGTCAAATTGGGGGAATAGATGAGTATATAGGCAATTGCAATGCAGCATAATAAATGCAGGATGTTAAAGATACATGTATTAGCTCATTGCACTGCACAGAGCCTGGGGGTGTTGGCCTTCCAGGAGGAAGAGATGAATAATATCTAGGCTTCACCTATACGAAGACATAAGCGAGACATTTAATGTGATCAAAGTTTTAAACAGTGTCAGTAGAAAAATAAATATCTTTCAAAGTACATTTGATAAAATATGATACCTGAAAAGCACATCTATACCATGAAGGTAATATTAAAACTCATGTTTTATTTATTTATTTATTTTTTAAAATATATTTTATTGATTTTTCACAGAGAGGAAGGGAGAGAGATAGAAAGTTAGAAACATCGATGAGAGAGAAACATCGATCAGCTGCCTCCTGCACATCTCCCACTGGGAATGTGCCCGCAACCCAGGTACATGCCCTTGACCGGAATCGAACCTGGGACCTTTCAGTCCGCAGGCCGACGCTCTATCCACTGAGCCAAACTGGTTTCGGCTAAAACTCATGTTTTAAAAGAAACAATAGGGAAATGATGTTTGGTATTATTTGAATGAAAACAATAAAACTATTTTGACTCTAATTTTATTTTATAAATGTTCTTAGAAATATAATAAACTCAGAAAAACTGATAGGGATTATAATTTTTTTAAATATTTATGAAAGAAGATATTTAGAGCTCATAAAAGACAAGCAGGATAAACACGATTGCTTCCTAAAAGAATTTAAACAGTGGCTTTTAGCCCTGGCTGGTTTGGCTCAGTGGATAGGCACATGCCCAGGTTGTGGGTTCAATCCTCAGTGGGGAGTATGCAGGAGGCAGCCAATCAGTGATTCTCTCTCATCATTGATATTTCTTTTTCTTTCTCCCTCTCCCTTCTCTGAAATCAATACAAATATATTTAAACTGTGGCTTTTAAAGTGAAAGCAGAATCTTAATTTCAGAATGTGATCCCTTGAAATCTGATGAGATTAATTCAGTTGGCCCCACACACAGTCATATAAAGTGGAAATGACAGACCACTGACAAGTTATATTAGTTTTTGAAGCTGTTGGGAGATACCAGATGAATACTCTGAAACTCATGAATTCCATCTAATTTGGTGACATTCATATTGTGGGAGGGGTCAAAAGCAGGCTAATATTAAATGTAAAACATTAAAAATACGAAAATAAGAAGTTAGAAGTAAAGACAAGAACAGGAACAGATCATATAAAATTAGAGTACTCTGGTATAGATAGTAAAACTGAATGGAATTTAGGAGCAGTACATTAAAGAACATGTATGTTCTATACTGAATAATATATCCACTGTCAGGTCATCTCTTAAACAATGTTATAATTGCACAGGCATAATCCAAATTTTCTGTTTCTTTTGCACTATTTTCAAAGGCTAGCACAGCTCTGGGCTCCGTAAGAGACTGATTGAGAGAGGGGCACTCACTGTGTTTCTGTCTACAAGTCAGAAAGTAGTAATAGATCCAAGCAGGGAGTAGTGTGAGAGAATAGCATGAGATTTGGACATGGAACATGTTTAAAACATATTAAGTAAAGTAAAAACAACAACAACAAAACAGCAAGTTATGAAATATAACGTAGCATTGTTTTTTAATTTAAAATATAGTTTCATGCATGACAAAGGACGAGAATACCCTCCACCAAAACGTCATCAGAATTCTCTGGTAGTATGATTTTTTTTCCACTCTGTTTTCCGTGTCCCTTTTTCCAATTTTTTTCAGTGAATATAGATTACTATTGTAATTAAAAAGCAGTTTTATTTTACTGAGCTTAATTATTAAAAAAATATTTATGGCTTTCCTAGCAATAGAAATTATGGTATGTTATATTAGAGCAACTTGTAATAATCTAGAATTCTAGATAAAGGTGTTAGGCCATCTTAAGATATTTTGCTTATTGTGGAGAAAGCTTTGCTCAATCCAGCGGAACAGTGAATCGCATTGCATTAACATTCTTAGCATAGCACTGTATGTGTAATAACCACTCAATACAATGTTTAGTGAAGATGGATTGTGTTATGTATAGGTAACGGTAGATATTTAAAACTGAAAAGACTCTTAGTGATGATTTAGTACAGCTTCTTTTTTAGCTGAGGATATTGATATAAACCGACATTAACTTATGCAGTATTCTGCAACTAGTTAGTGGCGAAGCAACTAATCTACCAACACTAGGCCGATGCTGATTCAGCCTCTCCCTGTAAGTCACATAATAGGAAGCCGTTCATGCCACAAGATCCAACAGCTGTCAGAGAAGCCAGAGATGCTTCAGCTCCTGCAAACACACTGAGAGGCAGACCAGACTGAAGTGTAGCAGGCGCAGTTACCTTGGGGAGCCCTTCCCTTCCTGGTGTCTCTGATCATTTCATATGGCCTGGCATCGGGCAGTGGGCCAGTTGCCTCTGTGCTTCGGCTACTCTAACACTTGCTTGGCAGCTCCTTTTGGGTGCAGTGTGGTATTTTGTTATTTCTTTTTCAGCAAACTAAATAAATTGGAACAATTGGAGGAACTGAACCTAAGTGGCAACAAGCTTAAAACCATTCCCACGACCATAGCGAACTGCAAAAGGCTGCACACCCTTGTCGCACACTCCAACAACATCAGCATTTTCCCAGAAATACTGCAGTTGCCTCAGATCCAGGTACTGTCATGTGCTGGAATGCTGTCCCTCGGGGGGAAGTGGCAGGAGTGTGAATGAGGTTGACCTCGTAAGGAAGAAGGACGAGGCAATTAGGGATCACAGTGTATTCAGTGGGTTCTTGGGGAGAAATTAAGTTCCCTTGGAGGATATAATAGTAGATTGGCTGTTAGAGAGTTAAGAATTAACTACCTATGATGTATTTTCTTTTGATTTTTTCCACTTCCTTCTCAGTTTGTAGACCTAAGTTGCAATGACTTGACAGAAATCCTGATCCCAGAGGCCCTGCCTGCTACCTTACAGGACCTTGACCTGACTGGAAATACAAACCTGGTTCTGGAACACAAGACGCTGGACACATTTAGGTAAGAAAACTTGTGAAAACGAACCCCCATGTGCTCTTAGTCCCACCAGCCATGTGGGGGCTTCTCAAGGTCTTGATTATTTGAAGGAGTAGAATGGATGAAGCATAAAACCCCTTGGGCCCCAACTTTGATTCAGTTATGGGTGGGTGTTCTGTCCATCCACAGAAATGTTCTCACCCATTTATATTAGGACTCGGCATCCAGGCTCAGCCACATACTGACTATCTTTACATGGCAGGCATAGATGGTTGAGGTGGCACAGATCACATTACATCACAACATGTAAGAGACAGTGCAAGCTCATTCATTGTACCAAGAGTTAATTGTATTAAAATACTTAAAATAAGTGGACAGTTGGCTGAAATGTTGAAGTCTTTGTTGTGCCTAGTTTTCATAGAGACAGCATCAATTGTAACAATATTTGGCCCCTATTTCTTCCTCCTACTTTTTCCTTTCTCCACCTTGGCCAGTGGGTCAGCATACTACTTTCAGTCTCTCTGGAGATGAATCTTAGTCTGTCAACGGACTATTTTATAAAAATACATATTATTGTTAGGATAGTTTTTGTAAAATACAGAAGCATTTACGGTTTAATCTTTCCTTCCTCCACTTCCCACAGCCATATCACAACCCTGAAAATTGATCAGAAACCTTTGCCAACCACGGATCCTACAGTTACATCAACTTTCTGGAGCCATGGACTGGCTGAGATGGCAGGGCAGAGGAACAAGTGAGTATCTTGGCCATGGAGACTGAGAAAGAAGAAAGGTAGCCTCTGACATCTGGGAACTGATCTGATGGTAAATGCCAGGCCATATTCTCTTGTTGGGTGTAAACAAATCACAGAATGTCGACATCAGATAAGATCCCTTTGAAACCATGATCCAGTAGGACAAAAACAAGATGAATGTGCAGGCCCCAAAATACCAAATTCTCTCATCCCTACTATAAAATGGGCGACTACCATTTTCTGTACCAATTACAGCTTTATCCTTATGCTAATCTTTTCCTATAGATAAGATTGATGGAGATACCCAACCATAGAATGGCCCCGCTTTCTCGCAGCCCCCAATCTAGTATGATCACCCCTTCATTAGACCTTCTCCAAAGTGACCCAATCAAAGACCAAATCCTATGCTAGGTCTTACCTACACTCCCCAGAGTTCCATGATGTGCATTCTGCCTTGCTCGGGGCATATAACACTCAACTCATTCAACCACAGTTGTGCTCCTGGGGGCCTCTGGCTGAAGGGTGTTAACAATACTAGTCTTTGATAACTACTAAGAGAAAACATTTCATCTTTCCAGCTTTGACAGCATTGCAAAGTTAAAATATGTACAGCTTCTGAATGTGGCTGAATTCCCCTGTTACGTCAGCAACTCTTTCAAATGCTGCCTAATTATGTAGCACTTTTCATTTGTAGGTTAGGATTTACTCCTGTTCTTCTCCACCCTCAATTAACACTTAGTTTTTTAAAGAAGGCTCCTCAGAGAATAATCCTTTTACCAATAACTTTCTTTGATGTTTGTCTTTCTTGTCTTTCTGTGATAGGCTGTGTGTATCTTCGCTAGCTGTGGATACCTTTGTGGAGGGCGTGGGAGCGGTATACGGCATGTTTGATGGGGACCGGAATGAAGAGCTTCCCCGCCTCCTGCAGTGCACGATGGCGGACGTGCTTCTGGAGGAGGTCCAGCAGTCATCCAGTGACACCGTTTCCATGGCTCACACCTTCTTGGTATCTCACAGGTAAGCAGGTGGGTTGAATAATCCCTAACTCAGTTCTACTTTTGGAAAATCTAAGCCAGAAGGCCAGAGTCTAAATTACAGGCACAGGATCAAGATGAGATCTTGCTCCTTCTGCCCTAGCCCTTCTCTCTATATCAGCGTGGAATGTGGGGGATTTTGGTGCTTTAAAGAGCCTGTGGAACCATCTGTGTTTTCTCTGTTGAACCCAAGATTTGGAAAGATCTGGAAAGCCCAGAATTGATGTGGGAAAGGTTGTGTGTGTATGCATTTGGGGGAAGGAGCGTGGTAAGCTTTCATAAGATTCTCCAAAGAGTCGATGACCTACAGAACGTTAAGCACTGATCAATTCATGTGTTTAGAATACTTATTGGGATTTATCAACTAATCTTCTAAGCCACTTAACGGTAAAAACCCTATATAGCTAAACCATTGAAAATCTCTTAGTAGCTAATGGAGCATTTTACCCATAAGGTGGGCTGCAAAAAGGATACTGACAACTGAGAGGTTGTTATCTTGTACTAGAGGCCCGATGCACGAAATTCGTGCACAGGGGGTGGGGGGATTACCTCAGCTGGGCCTGTGCCCTCTCACAACCCAGGACACCTCGCTCCTAACTGCCCACCTGCTCACTCCTAACTGCCCGCCTGCTCACTCCTTACCTCTTGGCTTGCCGCTCCTTACTGCTTGGCTCGCTGCTCCTTAGTGCTGCCACAGAGGCAGGAGAGGCTCCCACCACTGCCGCTGCGCTCGCCAGCCATGAGCTCGGCTTCTGGCTGAGCAGCACTCCCACTGTGGGAGCGCACTGACCACCAGGGTGTAGCTCCTGGATTGAGCATCTGCCTCCTGGTGGTCAGTGCACATCATAGCAACTGGTCGTTCTGGTTATTTTGCCATAACGGTTGCTGGGCTTTTATATATATAGTTATAGAGATAATCAGTGTTGAAATGGAGCAGCCTGGAGTCCAAGCTAGTTTTCTCTCTCATTATAATACAAAGCAAATAGGCTGGGAAAGGAATTTAACTTGGCAAAAAAAGGGTTTGGGAGAGAGAACTCTGCTTATGAAGTACCTCCTGAGAGCAGGGTACTGTACCAAGCATTTCTTATACCATATCTTTAATTTTCAAAACAAGCCAAAGAAGTGGGTATTTTATTAAAAAAATTTCTCAGAGAAATAACTTGCTGAGGATCTATAGCCAGTAAATGAAAAAGCCAAATTTAGAACCAGGTCTTTTTTATAGCACCTGCTCTATGCTTAGCATTGTGTACCACATGCTGGGGGATGGATGCCATGTGCATGGGAGAAATACAGGGGAAATTATGATCCTTCCTTCAAGGAACTTAAAACCTAAATGTGTGGTTCTCAATGTGTTGTTCCAGGACAACAGCCTCGGGAGCTTCAACATCACTGGAAACTTTTTAGAAATGCAAACTGTTGGGCTGCCCCTTATCTACTGAATCAGACAGTCTGGGGGTGAGCCCTGTAATCTGTGTTTTCACAAACCCTCTAAGTGATTTTGATGCTCTAAAGTTGAAACCACTGGGTTACACCATTGTGGTCAATGATTAGACACAAGTAGAAGGAGCAGAGAACGACCACCTTACTCTCTCCTTTGAGCTCACCGTTGTGTAAAATTCCTTTTCTCAGTGAGTTAAGAGTGGAAGGCAGAACTCTGCTCACCATTATCACCTCCTAGTATAGCCAGAGACTGCCTTCAGGTGGATGAGGGTGGGGCTGGTCCAGCCACCTGGCAGGAAAACAAGGAAATGGTGGCCATGAAGGACTGCCATTTTCTTCTTACTCTAGCTACCAGGTCTTCATGTTCTTTCTAAACAGGAAATTAGGGATGGCTGGTCAGAAGCTGGGCTCCTCTGCTCTTCTTTGTTACATCCGTCCTGACACTGCCGAGTCAACAAGTAGTTTTAGCTTGACGGTGGCCAACGTGGGCACGTGCCAAGCAGTCTTGTGTCGAGGTGGGAAACCAGTTCCCCTCTCTAAAGTCTTCAGCCTGGAACAGGATGCAGACGAGGCCCAAAGAGTGAAGGACCAAAAAGCCATCATAACAGAGGTGAGTCTCGCTCTCCATCAGTCACCTCTACTCCCCAAATCCAGTGAATGCTGTTTGCATAATGGCAGTGGAGGCCCACTTTCCTTCTATCAAGCCTTGTAAACTGTATCCAACTCAGATAATAGTACTAGAAGAAAAGCTAATGACCAGCTCAGATAATAGTACTAGAAGAAAAGCTAATGACCAGCTAATGACTAGCAAAAAGAAAAGTCAAATTAATTAGAAGGAAAAATCTGAATTCGATGCTTTAGATCAGTGATTTTCAGTCTTTTTCATTTCATGGCATACATAAACTGATTACTAAAATTCTGCAGCACACCAAAAAGTTTTCTTTTTGCTGATCTGACAAAGAACGGTATAATTTTGATTCATTCACACCAGCCACCTATTGTTGTGTTGTCATTTTTTAATTTGATAATCTAAGGGAAAAGAGGTCAGTGCCCCTGACTAAATAGTAAAGCATTGCATGATTTAAAAATTGTGTCAGCACACCTGTTGAAAATCACTGCTGTAGATGTATAGCTAGCATGTAAAATGAAGGTAAATGTTCCCTTTGGTTAATTTCCAAACAGAAGAGAAACACTCCTATAGTTTGACATCCTAGTCTGAAATGCAAAGTTTCAAAATATTTTTTTCTGTTCATAATACAATTGTATTTGGCTCATATGCTTTGGTTATATTTTCTTTTTTAAATAATGAAGCATCAGTATCTCCACAATTTTGCAGTTTTTCTTGTTTTAGAAATTAGCATAACATTTCTGCTTTCAAAGAGACCTTAGCAGTTCATGTGAGCATTGTTTACTGCAAAGCAGAATTCTATTCGGATCTTTTGCCCATTTTTAATTGAATTGTTTGTTTCTTTATGGCTGAACTTTAAGAACTCTGTGTGAATTTTGGATACAAGTCCTTATCAGATGTGTGTTTTGCAAATACTTTCTCCCAGTCTGTGGCTTGTCTTCTCATTCTTTTAATCAATGTCTTTTGCAGAGAAGTTTTTAATTTTAATGAAGTCCTACTTATTTTTCTTTCATGGTTCATGTTTTGGTGTTGTATCTAAAATCTCATTGCCAAACCTAAGGTCACCTAGATTTCTTTCTGTCTTATCTTTTGGAAGTTTTGGAAGTTCAGTAAGTCTGATCGGTTTTGAATTAATTTTTGGAAAGGTGTAAGCTCCATGTCTAGGTTATTTTTCTTTCTTTTTTGCATGTGAATGTCCAGTTGTTCCAGCAGCATTCGTTGAATAGACTGCCCTTTCTCCATGGAGTTGCCTTTGCTCCTTTGTCAAAGATCAGTGGGGTGTATTTGTGGGTCCATTTCTGGGCTGTTTGTTCTGTCAGAATTCTGTCAGGACTATCCATGTTAGATTTTATCCAAGGAAGCACAAAACCAAAAAAAGTATATCACAATGTGGTTGATATCATGAAGATTCTGGAACTCTGAGGCATTATAGTCTTAGGAAGGTCTTTCAGTCAAAACAAAAATGAAAGATAAAAGAATGTTTTGTTTGATTAGTCTATTTTTACAGAATTTAGTAATGTTGTTTCGATTTGGGGGGGAAGAGGTGCTAGACAAGTAGGAAATATTTTTATAAATGTTATTTTAACCACAGATATTTATTGTTTGCTTATTTGCTAAGCACTGTGCTTTCATTATTTTGTTTAATCTTCATAATAACACCCATGAAAGAATGGCTTTTATTTCCATTTTACAGTTGAGGAAAATAAAATTTAGTGTTTGTGATAAGTTCTGGTAAATAGAGAGCCAGGATTTTCATCCAGATAATGACTGCAACTATGAAGTAAATATATTGATGGCTTTAGAGGTTTTGCTTGGTTTTATCATGAAAAGAAATAAGTATCAAGTATCTGGCAGATGAACGTTCCCATCTGTAACTAAGGTTTTTCCTTTTCCTTTAAGTTTGGAATTATACCAGTTGTGACTTGATCTGTTACTCATTTTTTGTTAAAATCCTTACAGAGTAGGTAAATTTACTACAGATTGCAGACTTTCCTTTTCTAGGCTAAATAATTTTGGAGATTACTTAATGCTTTAGCCACAAAGATTGCCTTAGTCATTTAATATCTTCCTGAATCTTTTCATTCCTAACTGTGCCTTTGAATGAGAAATCATTTTTAGTGACCCATCTGAGTTCTGGCCTCTGTGAGAATACTAGTGATGGAGAATTAATGATAGCTCTGATCCTTGTTTTTCTAACAGGTGTCTTTCTATTTAAGGACATGCTGAGGCCTTTACTTCATGTTAAAGCAAATACCTTTTGAGATTGAGGTGCCTTTTAGCCACTTCACATTTTAATTGGTTTTATCTTTAGTCCTCTGAACTATTCAGTATAACCATCTGATATTTTGTTCTTTTAGAATTTTATACATTTATTTTTGTAAGGCCATTTAAAATTACACAGATCTTAGGAAAAACCATAATAGATGTCAGTTCTGTATTTGTTTGTTTGTTTTTTGTAGAGCCCTAAGCATTGTGAGATAGAAAGATATGAATTGTATGTCATTGTTGCTTGTTTTTCAAAATTTGCATTCTGCTGCCTCTAGGATAACAAAGTGAATGGGGTAACCTGCTGCACCCGGATGCTGGGCTGTACATACCTCTACCCTTGGATCCTCCCCAAGCCCTACATCTCTTCCACTACACTTACCATTCAGGACGAGTTGCTGATTCTGGGAAACAAAGCATTGTGGGAACACTTGTCATATACAGAAGCTGTCAGTGCAGTGCGTCACGTACAAGACCCATTAGCAGCTGCCAAGAAGCTGTGCACATTAGCCCAGAGCTACGGTTGTCAGGACAATGTGGGGGCAATAGTGGTTTATTTGAACATTGGGGAGGAAGGCTGCACTTGTGAGATGAATGGGCTCAGCCTCCCAGGTCCTGTGGGATTTGCTCCGACCACCACCATCAAGGACCCTCTCAAGCCAACCACTCCTTCCTCCAGCAGTGGGATCGCCTCTGAGTTCAGCAGTGAGATGTCCACGTCAGAGGTGAGCAGTGAGGTGGGATCCACTGCTTCTGATGAACATAACACTGCTGGCCTGGATGCCAGCTTGCTCCCACGGCCAGAGAGGCGCTGCAGCCTCCATCCCACCCCCACCTCTGCGGTGTTTCAGCGCCAGCCTTCATGTGCGACTTTCTCGAGTAACCAGTCTGACAATGGCCTGGACAGTGACGACGACCAGCCCGTTGAAGGGGTCATAACCAATGGCAGCAAAGTAGAGGTGGAAGTGGATATCCACTGCTGTCGGGGGAGGGAGAACTCGCCCACGCTCCCAAAGAATTCTCCGGCCCCACGTCCTGAGGAGCATGGGAGAGGATTGTTTTTTGGGATCCGAAGACAGAACAGTGTGAACAGTGGCATACTTCTACCAATGAGCAAGGACAAGATGGAGCTACAGAAGTCTCCCTCCACCTCCTGTCTCTATGGGAAGAAACTCTCCAATGGCTCGATTGTACCCCTGGAAGACAGCCTGAACCTCATTGAAGTGGCCACAGAAGCACCCAAGAAGAAAACGGGCTATTTTGCTGCCCCCACTCAGCTGGAGCCAGAGGATCAGTTTGTTGTGCCTCGTGACCTGGAAGAAGAAGTGAAGGAGCAAATGAAGCAACACCAGGAAAGCAGGCCCGAGCCTGAGCTGATTGAAGAGGATCGGACCGAGCTCCCTGAGGAGTTTGACACAGCACTGTAATCCTCCCCAGCAGCTCAGTGTTAGGGAAGGCTGTGTGGGGTCGGGGTCGGGGGCCCTTCCAGAGGCATTTTGCCTCTGCATTTCTAAACCATAGATGAGGGGGGTAGAATTTGGAGCCAAAAATGGTGAGAGCTATCAGGGTCTTCTCTGGATAAGCTAGTAAACACCATCAGTGTTAAGTTTCACATTTAACCTGCACTGGGATTCCCAGAGCTACTGGGAAGAAAGCAGATGTTGCTCTGTATCAGTCCTGCCACCTGCCATTAACCCTTTCTCTCCTAGGATAATTTTGAGAATTTGCCTGCCTGGGTAGGAAAGGGACTATTTCTGTGGAGGAAAATAACTGAAGATGATTCCCTTTACTGATTGCTGCTGATGGATCTCTATGACAGAGGAATCACCTTATATCTCAACCTAACTGATGGGATGGGATGTGACTAGTCACATGACTTTTCATTCTTCTCTACGAGAATACAGCCTATCAAAATGATGTTTATTGGAAATGTAGAACCAATCAAACAGATAATTTATGTATGTAATGTAACGAGAGCACTTTTCATTGACTGTGAACTTTTTATTTTCGAATCTGCACTCGAGCCAATCTTCTTAGAGGCAGCCCAGCACCTTCTTCTCCATAGGTAGAATGAGCATCAGGTGTTGGAGCCTTGCATGAGGGTACTAGGCAGGGTCCTGGGAAATTGATTTAATTGTTGGATGTCAGACTGTGAAAACTCCTGAGAAGCTTGTGGGGATGAAGGTGGGAAAGAAGTGAAGACTAAGACTACTTCCCCCAAATCACAAAAAAAGAGAAAAGCTATTGACGAATGTGACACCTGCTAGGAGTTTCCCAGCAGGTCACAAGAGGGGCACTTGGGGATTGGCCTCTTTCATAACACCTGATGGAGTGGCAGTCAGCCTCCAGTGTGTAGGGCCAAGGCTGATGCTGCTCACATCCAAGTAACCGTGAGTTACAGCAGATGACCCGGAACAGAGGATGGGTGGAGCTCAGGTGTTAGGTTCCTTCTCTTACTCTAGCTTAGGGATGGTTTTCTAAAATGTTGCAGGTGAGTGGAGAGTTCACCTCTTTAGTGTTTAACAGAGTACTGAAAACTGCTTATCCACGTCACATGGTTTGAGAATACTGGGTTTAATTACTAATATAAGAAAGAATTTAAAAATCCTAAGCTCACAGAAAACCTGGTTTACTATATTTTTGGCACATTCCATGTAACCCTAGCAAAATGCAGTTCCTTCCATATTTCTGTTCTGTTGCCTTTTCCATTAGAAGATTTACTTAGGAAAATGAATTTCTATTTATTCCTACAAAATTTTGACACTGCTTGATTTTACCCAATGAGGACTATGCTTTGAATGATTTCTAGAATACTTTCACAATTAAAAAGAAAGCAGAGTGGAACCATTTTTAATTTGTTTCATGAGCAATAATGTTAAAGATAGGGTTGAAATATACATAAGTAGGGTCCTGTCCACAAATGGTTGGTCATTATGTATCGGGGGGTACATACACTCTTGGGGGATTCCATACCACTTCAGTGACTAAGTTCAACCCCTCAAGAATCTGAATTTGGGTCCCCAAATTTTCAGGAATACTTGACTTCCCTGTGTCAAACTACTGGTCAGCTACTGCAGAATTTTAGAACTCAGGTCTTGATGTGAAGTGGGGAACATAGTAGTTCATACAAAGTTTAGGTGCTGTTAGAAAGATGGGAACAATAGTGTGTTGCTGCCTTATTTTTATATAGGGAAATGAAAAAAAAAGTGAAGGGAAAGTGAAAATGAAGGAAACACCCAAGATAATAGTGATGGGTGACGTAAAACATCTTTCTACCCAGACAGCAGAAGCTCTGAGTTATAGAATAGTGATGTTGTCTAGAAGAGAAAGTTGTTTTGGGAATATACCACTTTAATAGTATAGTCTCTTAAAAATTGTCCTTTATCTGTGAACCTTCTTGTCTTCTCTTTGTTATCCACCCTTAATGGAACCATCATGAAACCCACTTCTGAAATGGCATTTCCAGAAGTTAAATATATTTACTTTCAGTCAGAAGAACTCCCAAGTTCCAGATGTTCTGTGTGGTAGATTTATTTTCAGGAAATATTAAGTTGTGTTGGATATCTTTAATATAGGCTATACCAAAACTATTTATTCTTTTTTGTAACTTTCTTTAGTTCATTTTTCTCTATAATTGCTCTGTATTAACACAGAGGGTAAAAAGGCCATAGCCCATTACCAAAAATATACAGAATCTTCTGACCTGTGAGGTCGTTTGCAGTCATTGTGTGAACCGATTAGACTGTCAGGTGGTGAAAGACAGTAATCTGTCTCCAGGTGAATGTAACCTACTTCCTAGGATTTTACCCAGAGGATGTGTTCCCCAGGTGGGCAGAGAACCATTGATCTCTAGTCCAGAGATCCTGGCCTCTGCATGATTCTCAGGTTTCCGTGCGTACCTCCCATTTAATAGAAAAGTTTAAGAGAATTTCTGAAAATAACACCACTCCTGCTGATGGGAGCAGTTCAGCAGTCCTATGGAAGAAAGAAAAATACACGTGTCTTGGCAGCCATGGTATTCTTCCTTTTATCCACATGAATCGGGAATATATGTGAACATTTGAATGCTGGTATATCAGAGCTACCGTGCTACCATAGAGTCATTGAATTACCACTCCTAATGCAAGTGAAGGTTTTATTATACTACTGTGAGTGTGAGTGTGCGTGCAATACATTTGTGAGTTCCTCTTCCTGGTGTGTAGAAGAGCCAACACGAGCAGCGTGGTAATCATTGGGTGCTATTCTAATTGTTTGTAGTGAGTGCTATTTTTCAGGAGATGGAGCCAGTTAGTTAGGTTTGGCTGATCTACTGACTATCATGTGATGCTCTTCTTCCCATGTAGACCTTCAGCAAAAGCAGGTACTTGGAAGCCACAGGCTCACCTTCTCTCACTACTCAATAATTATTAATGAAGAGACCTCCATAAGGGAGCACTTGGCTGTTATCAATAAATGTACCAATTATTAAACAGTCTCCAAGCCATTCAGTGATGTCTGCAGCATCACGATAGAACTGTCCTGTGTCACTTTTTACTTCCCTCTGGGTGGGGCCTTTTAGATTCCCCAATCATGGAGGCAAGTTAATCTTTCTCTCCAGGTAGTGACTTTTGCCCCATAGCTGGGTAAGCACTTCCTAGATTGAGAAAAGCAGCTACAGTAAATCCTGCTCTGTTTCCCTCATTTGGTGATCATTCAAATCACACATAAGCTCCCTGTACTCTAATTTCATGCACTTCTCCCAGACGCTATGGGTTTTCTCTCACTGTTGCCAATGGACGTCACCCAAACAGTGAGTTCCTATCTTACGGTTTTGTGCAATCATCGTCGTATTGTAGTCCTAAGACTCATTATAGTGTATTTTTGATATTTTTGAAATGTGTTAAATTTTTTAATTCAATAATATGAGCCAGAGCATGTTGCAGCAAATCTATTATTTGTAAAAAATAACAATAACAACAATAATAAATAAAATAAAATGAATATCTTTTTTCATGGCTTTGTTTTAAAATGAAATATGTGTTATTTTATAAATACTTTATTTTAGCATGCAACTGTAATTTTCTCTAACTTGTATGTAGAATTAGTTTCTTACCCAAAACACCATTAGAATTTTTCTGCTTTTTCTTGCTTTAGGGGAAGATAACAAATGAAACTACATTCCATGGCACTCTATGAAGCTATGAGTTAAGGGCAGAATAAATATTTTTGATCATCTTTTAAGCTGAAATAGCAATAAAGATTTTTTTTATGCTAAGAAACATTATATTCTGACTTGGCTTATATGTTTTTTTAAAAAAAATCCCAAAGACAGGAAACATGGTACTTATTTACATGCAGGTGATCAGCTGACTAGAGGAAACTCAATTGTAAATAGTCCACAGCTCCTCTTAAATCAGAGCTGACGGTGATAGAGGAGCGAAGTGGGTAATCTGGCCATCATGTTTGGTATAGTGTAATAATGGCTTTGGTATTAGAACTTCAGACATAACTGGTAGGTTTTGGCCCATCAAATACTTATAATCTAGGTAAGCCTCTAAATTGTTCCTCTCTTCTACCCCCATTGACGTCTCCCAAATCTCTAGACTTCGAGCAAGATTAGCTACCTCTCCCTCCAGATGAAGTCCAAGTTGAAGTCCTTCTTCAGTTTCCTTCTCATTAGCAGAGCAAACATTTTGAAAAGTTGGTTCACCAACTATTCATTGAGCACCTTCAGTGCACTGGGTTCAACCACCATCACCATCATCTACTTCAATACCTCACTTCCATCAGACGCACACCTCGCTATTCCACGTGGCAGAAGCGAAATTTTCTGAGTGTGCTCTCTGCTTCCTGTGATATCAATTCCCACCCAGTACACGCGAGTACATTAGTCACAACACGTTCCAGTGTGTGAGTCATTGGTCCCGAGTTTTGCCTCTGCTATTTAGAAGGTTTGAATTTAGACAGGTTAACCTCTCCAAAGCGCGTGTCTCTCTCTCTCTCTCTCTCTCTCTCTCTCTCTCTCTCTCTCTCTCTCTCTCTCTCTCTCTCTCGTTAAATGGAAATCGTAGCTCTCAAGTTGTGACCTTAAATGAGATGATGCCAAATGCTACCTTAGCTCAATAGTGCATCTGGCACAATGAGCAGTCAGCAAAATGTTAGCTACCGGGTAAACCACTTAACCTTGAACTTTGGTCTCATTTAAAATGTGAATGATAAATCTTGACCCGCCTCCAAGTGGTAGGAAATAAGCTGTGGTTGGAAACTGCAGACGTGGGGTGTTGTGATCACAGTGAACGATGGGGCTCCAGTCCCTCGAGAGGAGTTGAATCTTGGGAGCAGTGTCACAGCTGGGCCTAGACACAATGTTGGTGTCAGGCCCAAGTCCTCATTTTATCAACTCAGACACAGGACACGGTTTCGGGAACCTGGGAATACGTGCTAGGGGAGAAGAGTGTGTACGGTTATTCTTTTGGGGGGTGGGCTGATCTTTGCTGTGGTTAAACTTTTCACTGCTCTGCAAAAACTCTGGGGCTGAGGGTGACAGAGTGGATGACAGAGTAGAAGCGCCTCTTTGTGGCACAAATGTTTGTATTTTAACCTCACAATGCAGACTTCCAGTTGATGGTTTTCCTCTAGGCCAGCGGTTCTCAACCTGTGGGTCGAACCTTCCTAATGCCACGACCCTTTAATACAGTTCCTCATGTTGTGGTGACCCCCAACCATAAAATTATTTTCGTTACTACTTCATAACTGTAATTTTGCTACTGTTATGAATCGTAATGTAAGTATCTGATATGCAGGATGTATTTAGGCGACCCCTGTGAAAGGGTCGTTTGACCCCCAAAGGGGTTGCGACCCACAGGCTGAGAACCGCTGATCTAGATAATCTCCCATTTCTGGAAGAGGTTCCGTTTTGATCCTTTGCTGGGATAGTTTCTGTAAGAATTAGCTATTGAGAGAATTTGAGAGGAGCGAGGAAAGGCACTATGTTATAGGGAGGAGAGTCAGCAAACAGGCAGGCGGGAAAACATGTTAGAGGAACATGGCTTTGACTTAATTTTCTAAGTCATTTTGGTAGATGTTGAAACAGGATTATGTTTGCTGGTTTCTTTCTGTATAAATAATGTCAAAATTGCTGTTCCCAGAAATTTCTAAAAATTTGGTTTGAATTTATTAATAGTTTGATCTTATTTATAATGTGACCATAAAAAATTATTTGAAAAAAATAGTGATTGAAAAGCAAGAGGAAAATTAGGGAAAAACCCCCTATACTTTATATAACATATATTTGCAGTTGTATCTGACATGAGCTGAAAATCTGAGATGTAAAGTATAAGAACAGTTATAAAACTTTAGGTTAAAATTATTGAAAGAACTTTATTTTTAAGATTCAGTGTTCATGATCTGTTGTACTATGAAAACAGTTCAGGGTCATGAGAGGTTATAATCTACCTTTGAAGATCTACTCTGTAGACACTGTCAGGGAAAGCAGCAATGAAGAGGCCTCCCATAACCCTCTAGAGCAGGGGTAGGCAAACTTTTTGACTCGAGGGCCATAATGGGTTCTTAAACTGGACCGGAGGGCCGGAACAAAAGCATGGATGGAGTGTTTGTGTGAACTAATATAAATTCAAAGTAAACATCATTACATAAAAGGGTACGGTCTTTTTTTTTTTTTAGTTTTATTCATTACGGCTGCTCTAGAGTCTAGTAAAATTAACTACTTGATCTTTGAAGTCGTTAAAAAACCCTTACTAGCAGTGATGGCGAACCTTTTGAGCTCGGTGTGTCAGCATTTTGAAAAACCCTAACTTAACTCTGGTGCCGTGTCAGATATAGAAATTTTTTGATATTTGCAACCATAGTAAAACAAAGATTTATATTTTTGATATTTATTTTATATATTTAAATGCCATTTAACAAAGAAAAATCAACCAAAAAAATGAGTTCGCGTGTCACCTCTGACACGCGTGTCATAGGTTCGCCATCACTGCTTTATAGTCTAGTAAAATTAACTTGATCTTTGAAATAGTTAAATAACACGTTTAAGAAGTTTATGACTTTTAAAAAAATGTTTTAATTGGTTTCAGAGAGAGGGATAGAAACATCAATGATGAGAGAGAATCACCATTCGGCTGCCTCCTGCACACCCCTTCTTGGGGATCGTGCCCTCAACCCAGATATATGCCCTGACCGGGAATCGAGCCGTGACCTCCTGGTCCATAGGTCGATGCTCAACCACTAAGTCATCCCGGCCGGGCGAGAAGTGTATGACTTACGGGAGCCCCATATTTCAGAAAAATATTTCAGGAAGGCTGAATTCCAGTTGAATGACTTGCAACAAAAAGAAACTAACTTGGAATGGTGGCAATAAAACCCAAGACATTTTCTCTCAGCTCTAATACAGGAATCTCAAGGAGGAACATGCATGCTACAAGCATCTCTCTTCATGTGTCAGAAACCCAGCCTCCCATCTCACTCCTTGGGATCCAGGCAATCGGTACACTGTCCTGTGGGCAGAACAGTTTCCCTCTAGGAGAGGGTCGGATGACTCTTTAGAATTCAGTCACACTGCTTTAAAAGCATTCTCCTGGGACCACACAGGAGGGGGTATGGCATGTTTCTTTTGGTGAATCTCAATAGTTGAGACGGGTGAGATATTCCTACTATAACGCCGGGCCTGCTACCCCTGATGTGTAGTTCTCAACTTTCAGGATTTCTCTGGCTACTTAGCCATCATCATCACCTTACCATTTGGTGCGGGAGCCAGACCATAAGTGCATATCCAAACTTCTGATGTTCTTTGTAGCAAAGGTGGGGGAGATTTTTTTTCCAAGCTTTGAGCTTGAAAAGCTCCCTGACAGAAAAATGAGATGGCCATCTAGCTTTGCATTTATAAAATCCTGTATGTGAAAACACCAGCTGTCAACTGTGCGATTTTAAAGGACTCCTCTTTCTGAGAGGAACCAGGGAGGCGGGCTGACATTTAGGTTCTGAGAAGACGACCTCAGAGTGTTCCGGACCACAGGTACTCCGGTCCCTCACTGTAGTTTCTGTGCTGCTCTTGGCTGTCTCTGTAGAGCTTCTGTTCCCGGTAGCTCCGGAGGGCCAGCACCACGCTGACTCCGTACATTATCACCAGGAGACAAGCAAAGGTGGCTGCTGCCCCATCAGTGCCTGCCAGCTGGCAGTTCATCCAGGTGAGGCCTTTGCGGGCATAGAGCCTCTCTCTTCTTTTGCAAGTGTCTGTGGCATTGATCCGCAGGGCTATGTGGAGGAAAACGCCGATGCCCGCGCAGTAGCCCACTGCGGCCAGGAGGCTGAAGACGGCCTCCAGGACGAGCCACTTCCTTGGCAGTTTGGTGAGACTCTTGGCTCCTTGGAGTAACACACCCATGGTGAGGACACCCAGCCCCAGGGACACCGCCACGCCGCCGTAGATGAGGGGCGCCCGGAGGACTGTGTACTGCTGGTCCAGCTGCCGGACCTGCTCCAGCTCCGTGCCCTCAAATGGTGAGTAATAGTTGTTCCCGAAGCCGCCACCACTGGTAAAGCTGGCGCTGAATCCAGCCAGGACAAAGTAGGAAGCCACGATACACATGAGAACCATCCCATTCAGTATCACCTCCACTATCTGCACCACACCTAGGAGGAGAGAGTCGGGATTTAACAGGAACATCACGCACCCAGGAAACCTCTCTAGGTCAGACCAGAGAAATCCTGGGACGTGACTTTAAGGGCATGGTCAGATGCAACATGAACAGCCTTGGATTGTTTTCCAATATTCACGTTTGAATAAGCAAAATGTCACCCTGAAAAATTTTTTGGCAGCTTACAAAAAAAAATAATTAAACCTATACTTACCATGTGACCCTGGAACTGTACTCCTGGATTCTTATCCTAAAGAAATGAAAACGGGGCTACACAAAAAGTGTACAGGGATGTGCACAGTAGCTTGATTTGTAGTAGCCAAATATCCGAAACAACCCAAATGCCCTTCAGTGGGCGAATGGTTACACAATCTGCCACACCCATACCAAGGAATAATCAACAGTAAAAAGAAACAAACTGTTCATACAGGCAACAAAGTGGATGGGTCTCAAGAGAATTATGACGAGCTGGGGGGGAGGATGAGGGGGAAAGCCAGTCTCAAAAGGTTACGTACTGTACGATGCCATTTATGTAACAGTCTCAAAATGATGAAAAGATAGAGATGGAGAACAACACAGCTGTGGTTGTTGGGGCACGGGGATGAGTGGGAGTGGGGAGGGGAGAGGGCATGCGTGTGACTATTAGGGGGGAACACAAGGGATGAGGGAACAGTTCTATACTTGATGATGATGGTGGCCACACGGATCTACACGTGATAAAACCGCATGGGACTACACACAAAGACATGAGTGCATGTAAAATGGTGACATCTAAGCTTTGTAGAGTTGTGATATTATACTATAGTTATGCAAGATGTTTCCATTGGAGAAAACTGGGACTAGGGAACACAGGATCTCTACTATTTTTTGCAATTTGTTTTTGTTTTGTTTATCTCACTGGAAAATATTTTCTCTATTGATTTTTAGAGAGAGTGGAATGGTGTGGGGGAGAGAGAGGGAAACATCGATGTGAGACAGACACAATGATTGCCTCCCACATGTGCCCCAACTGGGGCCGGGTTATCGAACCTGCAACCCAGGTCAGTGCCCTTGACTGGGAATCGAACCCAAGACCCTTCTGTCGGCAGCCCAACACTCTAACCACTGAGAAAACCAGCCAGGACAGCAGTGTTTTATGAATCTATATTTATTTCACGTTTTAAGGCTTTTTTTTAAAGATGCCCTCACTGGTTTGGCTCAGTGGATAGAGCGTCAGCCTGTGGACTGATGGGTCCCGGGTTCGATTCTAATCAAGGGCACATGCCCAGGTTTCACGCTCGATCCACAGTGGGTAGTGTGCAGGAGGCAGCTGATCAATGATTCTCTCTCATCATTGATGTTTCTATCTCTCCCTCTCCCTTCCTCTCTGACATCAATAAAAATGTATTTTTTTTAAAGATCAAAATGATGTAAGAAGATATAAACTAAGAAAAATCACTTGTGTCCCTGTCCACTCTGTTCTCTACCCCCAGTCACCTTCATGATTTTCTGATATAACTCACAGCGTTCCCTCATGCAAATAAAAACACACTCAAACCAGCCTCCCATCCCCCTTCCCTGGCTTTCACAAGGGAGCACGCCCCATCTATTCTGCATCTTGCGTTTTCTTCATTTATTCTTCCCAGAGAGGTTTTCAGATCAGCTCCTACAGAGTCCATGTTCCTCGCTGTGTGGCCTCCAACCCCACTGGGTGGATATACCAGTCTATGCAGGATCTTACTGATGGACACCCTGTCTGTTTCCTTGGGGGCTTCTCAGAAGTTGAAGGACCTACGCATGCCATGAGACAGCAGGTGCCAGCAGGTGAAAGGAGACAAATGTCTTCTTGTCAGAGGTCAGCTCTCATGTGCAACTGACAGAAGCCCCGGGCTCCTCATGGCATCCTGCTGGCAGGTCTCCTGCCATTCTCCCAGTGTTCAGACATCGAACTAAGAGAAGAGCATGTGGACCTGGGGTGGGGACGCCAGGTTCACGTCCCTGCTCTTGACCGCCTGTGAGCTTGGCCTGTCACCGTCTCTAAGCCCAGACACTTCACCTGAGCAATGCAGTAATGCCTGCCTGTCCTCCCACGTGAAAGCAAGTACATGAAAATACTTGGAGGATCACAAAATGTTCTACAAGCGGGTGGTGATGCTGCTCAGTAACGTTTATGAAGTGGCAGGGGCTTAGAGATTTAGGAACAGGATAAATGTATGAGAAGCGTGGCTTCTCAGAAGTCAGGAAAACCCTCTGATCTGTTAGGCGTACCACGCTGTTTCTGAACCACGTGGCTGAAGACCAGTATCTCTGTCTAACGTACTTAGGCAACAGCTACTGGGCTTGCTGATCCTATCTCCTGCCGGGCCTACACGAATTCCAAGGAGGTTCACGGGACACAGCAAAGGCCCCGACAGTTAAAGCGGACGGGTCACGAGAATTCTAGCTTCACAGGACACAGTGTTTTACAAAGTATCATACTTGAAAAAGATCTTAGCTTGTAAGAACATGTAATCAATAACTTCCAAATGCAATGGGTATTTCATCTTAAAGCGTGCCTTTAACATTTATGTAAAACGTTTTTTGTACTCGTTCAGTAGGAACTTATCTGGCCACTGGGTAAAGCTGGCAATAAGACGACTGGTCCGCGATGTGTTAGAAGCTACATTCCTCTCAGTTACATCTGAGGTTAACATCAGGTCAGAACTGCCCACCCTCCACCCCGACACTGAAGCTACTGGCCACTCTCCCTCCAGCAGAGCGTGTGAACTGACCCAGACACCAGCCTAATTCACGGGGAGTGACTTCCCCTCCCCTTGCCTCTGCCTTGGTGTTCCTTACGTTTACATGGCAATACCTCACCCCCTGTGGAGAAACAGGACTCCTGTCCTACTACAAGATGTGGGAACCTGAATGTTTCCTTCTGGGACAGAGTCTGTTCAAACAGTGGACTCGTGACCCATGCAGCAAACATCTGCGAGGCCCAAACGGAACAAATCTACCTCTTGTCAACCAACCCACTGACGGCAACAATCTGCTGAAGGCATATGGCCACTGACTACTGTCACAGTTCCAGCCAGGCGACCTGGCTTAGCTATAGGATCAGACCGGCCCAGGTATTCTCAGTGCTATTAGTGCAGGACACAGATGCCAGGAGGAAAGAAACAGGTGAGCAGAGCCAGCAGTTGTCTCTGGTGAGACGGAACACGACGCTAGGACAGCAGAGGGCTCTGTAGAGGGAAGTGGAGACTCTGAATGTGAGATTTTTATTGTAAGTAGTGGCTTTCTCACTGAGGCTGCCTTGGTGCCTAATTATACACCCACGTCTGCCTCTGCACTGCAAATGTGAGCACACTGAGGAGAGCAGGCCAAGTATTTATTTATCTAAGCCATGCAGTAAATGAAAACAATTTTTACATTTCCTTTTCTCCAGGAGCAAATGTTGCTCATGCTGTCTTGTGTATTCTCCAATAAATTTTCTAAGCATATAGATATGCTTATTTCCTTTTCTAAACCCAAATGGAACTCACCTCTTAGATGTGATGTTGCCTGTATTTAAGGGAATATTCTAAATGTATTATAAAGAGAACCATCACCTCTAAATTAAAATTTTCTTTGGAATTTTATTAGACTCAAATAAAGCAAATAACATTCAGTTGTACCAAGAATATATTGTAATGTACTATAAGTCACAATTTAACATGTAATAAGAACCCATGAAGTCGTCTGGCCAAAAGTAGCATTCTTCTTTTGAGAAAAAGTTGACGTTCTTTAATTCTGCATGGGCCCTGAATTCCAGACGCCGGGTTTTAGTCTTCGTACAATGGTACACTTGTAAGAGGTACAAAACACTTATTGAGCTTTCAAAGCCATGGTAAGGGGCCTTTTAGAATAGCTTCTTTGCAGCAAATTAATCTGATTCCTGTTTCCTCAGCCCATGCCTACCTCCAACTTAAATTTTACAGGAGTCTCCCAGCAATCCCAACCCTGCACCCAGGGCATGAAGGAGGTGAAGGACTGCGGAGTTCCGCGTGGAAAATACAGGGGCTGATCTGCTTAAGACAGCCATGCCTAGAAAAGTTCAGGCGGAGATGTCTTGTGTCTATGTGGCTTTTCTTGAACTCTGAAGACAAGGATCTTTAAATTCACTCGTCATTTCCCTTTATTAATCAAGAAGTGCACGTTGCTGCAGCACATGCCTTTCCTGGTGGGTCTCAGGCTCCAGTTTTTGTTTTAAAAAGAATTTTGGTTAGTCCCTCACCAACAGAGGACTGAACCAGGCTTATGACGTCAGAGAATGACAGTCCACGCAACCCGGGCTGCGTCCAGCATCCCAGAGCTGGCCTGTTGTCAAGCCTTGGCAAGTTCTGCAACATAGTCCCAGGAAGACCACGATTCAGAGGAACTTACATCACTTACATTTGGCAGAACGTTTTTAAAAGCCTAAAACCCTAACATTTCTGCAGGCTTCTCCTTGAGCTTCCTGACCTTGCGGTAACCCCTGAAGGCCAGCACGGCCCCCATGGCAAAGACCCCAATGCCCAGGGCAGCAAAGATGCCAGCGCCTATATCTCCCCCATGCAAAGTGCAGCTGAAGCCGCGGTAGCCTTTGCTCTCGTACAGCGCCTCCCGCTCCTTGCACACGGGAGAGGCGTAGGCGGCCAACAGCGCGTGGAAGTAAAAGTACAGAGCGGGCACGTATGCCCCGGCGATGAGCATGTCCAGCGAGCCTTCGATCAGCAGCCACAGGGGGCAATGCCACGGGACCCGCAGGACGCCCAAGGCGATGAGGAGGCAGCAGAAGGCCATGAGGGCTCCGCCGTAGGCCATTGCTGCCGTGACCGTGGGCAGCTTGAGCTGGTAGAACTGGATGTCCAGCTGCTGCGCTTTCTCCCCGTCAGCGCCATCGAAACCACTGTAAGCCCCTCCGAACTGGTAATAGTAAATGCCCCCCAGGCTGGCGATGCCCGTGTAGCCCCCTGTGGAATTGTAAGACACAGAGCTGCAGACCAGGATCAGCAAGTTCAGGAGAACCTCCAGCATTTGGCAGCAGGCTGCAAAAGAAGGGCGCGTTACCATTCTGAGATGCGATCTCGCACTCGGAGACGCCCACCGTGAAGCTATCTTCCCTGGGGCAGCGCCAACCACAGCTGGCTTTTTTTTTTTTTTTTTTTTAAGATTTTATTTTTAGCTTTAGCTGGGTTGGTTCAGTGGATAGAGCACTGGCCTGCGGACTGAAGCGTCCAGGGTTCCATTATGGTCAGGGCACATGTCCAGGTTTCCGCTCGATCCCCAGTAGGGGGCGTGCAGGAGGCAGCCAATCAATGAGTCTCTCTCATCACTGATGTTTCTCTCTCTTCCTCTCCCTTCCTCTCTGAAATCAATTTAAAAATATTAAAAAGATTTTGTAATTTCTATAGAGAGAAAGGGAGAAGGAGAGAGAGAGGGGAACATTGACATGAGTGACACATAGGTCAGCTCCTCCTGCACAACCCCTACAAAGTATGATCGAGCCGCAACCTGGGCATGCGTCCTGACAAGGAATCTAACTGGCAACGCACTGGTACCTGGGATGATGTCCAACCAACTGAGCCACACCGGCCAGTGCCACAGCTGGCTCTTTATTCTGCCCCTGGAAGGCCCGAACAGCCAAAGCTGCAGTAGATGGCAGCAGGGAACTATGGTCTCCAGAAATGATGTCAGAGATACTTTGGACTGAAAAGAGTGACTCTCAAGGAGGGCAAAGCAGCCTGCCCCAGGTGGGGTGCAAGACGATGCTGGAGAAAGCAGGCCAGTGAGCTGAGAGAGGCATCCTCCACGGAAGGCAAGAACTTGCTCTGCACCAGCCCTGCCCTGCCAGAAAGACTGAAAAGTGGCTCTCTCCCCGTCAGCTTTGTTTCGTGGCTCTCTCAGTTTGAAAGAGGAGACGTCTCCAAGTTGGAAGGAAATTGCAATATAGAACTTAACATAATAATGAAGTTAGAAAAAAAAGTATGGAAGATACGCCTCAAAATGTTAACCATGGTTCACCTGTATTAGAAATAGGGGCAATTAAGTTAATTAAACCCATTACAGAATTAAAGAGACATAATTGGGTTTATTCTTAGCCTTGAACGCCGTGTGCTCTAAAGTGTAACTTTGGTTTCCTTAGTTTTCCTAAAGGGCACGCCTGGGCCTTGATATCTTCCCAGAGTGGATTCTCTCAGGGCCCCTGGCTTCTTCAGACATGGAAAGAGCTCCAGCTCATCGAGCAAAGCTGGCTGCTCCCTTCAAACCAGCTTTACTGAGAGATAACTCACCCTCACAAAACAGCCCACCCTCAGCACACAGCGTGGGGTCTGGCAGGTAATTGATCACATAATCATCACCAAGATACAGACCATTCCATCGCCAGAAAGTTCCCTGGAAAGTTGACCTTTGTGGTCAATCCCTCCCCTTCCTCCTCAGGCAACCACTGATGTGCTTTCAGCCAGTAGGAAGGTCTGCCTTTTCTAGAATTTCATACAGCTGTGTACTCTCTAGTGTGTCTCAGAGTCATGACGCTGGGTGCTTCTGAGTTGGGACCTGCGCTGCTGGAGGGGCTGTGGTGGTCAGCTGACTCTGAGGTTAGGGGTCAGGCGGTCAGCGTCTCCCTGCATTGAGAGAACCAGATGTTGTGCCCGGGTCCACTTGGTCTGTATATGAAGCTGTTCTATCTACACTCTAATCGACATGATGAGCTCCCAAGTATCTTTACACTTTAGAATTTCCCCCTAAAATGCAAATAGCATTGTTTTCTTTAAGTATAAAAGTAACACATCCTTACAAAAAATGTAGATAAAACAAAAATACATCATGTAAAAGTTAACTAAATTCCAACCAATAATAAAAAAAACACACACAATTTTTCTTCTGGACTGTTCTGCTATCTCTATTATAAAAACCCCTTGGTCATGACACCGTCATGGTGGAACGACCAAAGACTGATGATCACCAGGAGGCTGCGTGCGCGGTTGGGCGGGGCTACGTGATTTCGCACACTAGGCTTCTCGTATATACATAGTTTTGCCATTGCTTATTTGCTTCTTTAGGTAAGAACAGGGTCCTACTCTGTCTACTGTTTATATAACCTACTTTTTCACTTAAGAATGTAGTGTGAACATTTTTTCTATCTCAGCAAAAATGTATCTACTTAATGATGTTAAGGGATGTAAAGAATATCGCGATGACGTTAAGAAATTCCAATGTAAAGGGCATTTAGGCTTTTCCCAATGTTTTGCTAATGGGACCAAATACATGCTACAAATATCTTATTGGAGTGTGGGGATGACTAGAGCTCCCACAGGTGCTTATTCCCATTTTAGATTTAAAAGAACCAGAAAAGAACCACCAAGGCCATGAGGGATGTGCAGGGGTTTCTGTTTTTAAAAATAAAGGCTCAGAGGCTCTCCAGGGCGTCCGGGCCCCAGAAGGAATCGGGCTCTCGGATAAGCCCCTCTCTCCTGAGAAGCAGAAGTTCATTTGTGGGCATTCCCTCCTCTGACCTGGGCTGCATCAGATCTGCTAATGAGTTAACAACTCTTAAAGTCAAACGTGGTTTGAAATCGTGGTGTAAGTTTAGTCCAGATAATTACTGGGTTAGGGTATTAAATAAATACCTAAAAGGTGTGGGGGGAGACTGAGAATATTAATTGGGGGGAAACCCCACAAGTCTCCATCCTGAATCTTTCCAGCGTGATCACAAGTCAATGCCATTGGCTGTGGGAAGCCATCTCAAAACTTCAATCTCCAGGCTCTGATCTGAGTGAGAGACATACACCACTGACTCTAGGGGTTGCAACTTTCCTGGGAGAACATGAAATTAAACTTTTAAAGATGCTTTGCAAGTAAGGCTATAAACGGAATGCAAACATCATCATGCTGTGTTGGTTTTTTTAATTTTTTTTTTTTAAACAACTTCCTTTTTACATGGCCTAGCTCTCCTGTGGTCATCTCCATGATGATCTGAGCACAAGGGACTAAAGGGAGAGGGAAGGAGAAGCTGCTCCAAATGCCAATTGGGGGAGCCGGGAGGGGAGCAGGAAATGTACTTTCTTCCCAGGGAACATGTAACTCCTCACCAGTCCCTCCAAATCATGAGTGAGCACAACCTACACACAGACAGGGTTCCTGGTGATCTGCTACCCACATTTGTATTTGCTCTTTATCTCATCTTTACCCTCAGCACCTGACGATTTTAGTCTCTGCCCATAAAAGTGGATTGGGAGCCTCTCTCTTTTCTTTCTGTCAGGGTTCTCAGCGTTCCATGGAATGTCTTAAGTTAGGGTGACTCATAGCTCAACTTCTGGGTCTCCCCCGGAAGCTACAGGGGGCCACAGCTGCTCCCCCCCCCACACACACTTTTGCCACTTTGCTGGAGGAAGGAGGGTATGATTTTGTCGATAAGGAAAAGAGATCATAAAAGATGGACGCTAAGACGGGTGACCTTTCTCCAGGCATGCATTTCCTGCTGGAGAACAGTTCCTGGTGCTTAATGGCTGGTTCTCTCAGCACAACACCGTATTGTGTACTTCTTACGGGCCTCTGCGTGCACAGAGATCTTTATAAGCCCTCATTTGTTAGCTTCTTGTTGGTGAATCATCCTTTCACAATCTTGACTCAGAAACCCAACCTCTAGGCCCAAAGCCAAAAAGCCAGAAGCAATCAAAGGTAGTAAATCAGGGTGTGCTTTGCTCAGGAGCCTTAAGCGCTGCCCTCTCTTCTTGGTAAGTCAAGCACAGGAGAAAACATATTTCTAGGGAGAAACCTGTTAACCAGCCTGGCGTATTCCTATTATTTATTAGTATGTCATCCAGGAGGGAAGAAAGGTGCGGCAAGTAAACCATTTCAGGCCTGAGCGTCAGGCTCTACGTTTCCAGTCCAGCTCTTTCGTTTAACAGCTGTGTGACTTTGGGCAACTTCCTGTGTCTCTCTGAGCCTCAGCAGTTGCTGAGAGAATTAAAAGCAATGCGGTTGTGCCAACGTATGTAAACTGACGTGAGGATTCTTGTTCTAGGATTGCCTCGAGCTCCTCAGTGAAAGTTCCATCTAATCCTATAATCATGTATGTCCTTGTAATCCTCCTAAAATACATTTTCAGGTGTAAGGTCCATCACTCCTCTCCCTCGGGCAGAGAAATTTGCCCCCCTCCTGCTTACTCATCCGCAGCCTAGGAAAATTTCTCAGCCAGTCATGTGAGCCATCAGGGATCACCCTAACAAACCAGATTTCCTTCTTTGCTGGCAAGGCCAGGACGCTGCCGACATGGGAACTCTGGGAAACCACATGAAGCTGCCACATGATATTAATTAACTGTTTCTTCAAACTCTGGGTGCCAATAAGTATGTTTTTTTGTTTGTTTGTTTTTATGAAACAGAATAGAATAGAAATTCCTCATGCACTTCGTGTATTGTTTCACGATGTGTGTGTGTGTGTGTGCCTGGTCTGAATGTAAAATAACATTTCTTACTGTGAGTCTCAGCCAAGTTTAAAGCCACGATGGAGTTTGGGCATCAGACCTCTTATGAACTGCAACCCAGCTGCTCCCTCCAGGTGACTTCTCTACCTCAGCTCCCTGACAGCTGGCAGCTCAGAGCTGGCTCTACCCGTTAGACCCTGCAGTTCACCTGGAGCTTAAAAACTGCAAATGTGGCCTCAGCAGACCCCGGGGAGTCTTTGAGGAGAGGCTTGGGAAATCTAGCTGCACCTTTCAGACATTTCTACTTTCTTTCTTTTTTTAGAAAATGAGAACCTCATGCAGGAATGGGAACGAAAATGCTAGGAACCCAATTCTGCTTGAACTTCTGCGTTACCAGTCCAGACCCTTCAAGAACCACCGGCGACAGCGAATGGCCAAACTGCCTCCCCAGTGGCTCACCTCTCCCAGTGCACAAGTATCTGCATTTGTGGCATTCCAGGAGTCCTTCCGCCTCTGACTGGTAGTATTCCACGTCCTCCCGTCCAGGCCTGGGGTTCGAGGGCAGATATAGCCCCGAAGGGGGTTCACTGTAACTAAAAACATACACAGCCATTAGGGGGCCTCGATTTCAATAGCTTGTTCAGTATTAGAACTCCGGACACCGCAGGCTGGGCCCAGACATCAAACAAGGAGCAGAACAGGAACAAAATCTGCCAGGGTATTTCAACACTCCAGGGAAGTCTCTGGTTCAGCCACCCCAAAGGGCATCCACTCTGCTAACTACCCCCATTACTCACCCCTGGATGCCCTCTGCTAACCATCTCCAGCCTTCGATGCTGGTTGGTCAGCCTGGAGGCGCCATCTAACCGGGCAGATGACAGCCGCCTTCCTAAGCTTCTCAGTCCAGCATGGACCAGGCCACTTCAACACTAGCTTGCCTTCACACGGCTCTGATGCCCGGGCTGGGGACGGGACACTGACGTGTAAGGCAAGCTAAAACGTAGCTCTGTCATTTCCCACACCACACAGTTGTAATGCCATGTGGCTTTACTAGTAGTCAGTGGAACAATAGCTGGTCCCTGTGACTACCTGGGCACGCCTTTTGTCACTGTTCTGCTAGTTGGTTCTAGATAATGTAACATAAACTCAGGAGAGCAGCTTTCCCGCTATGTGGACACAATAGGTGGAGAGACCGGGCTGAACCCCACAAGTCCCACAGCAGAGGGGAGCCTGACTCCTCCTTAGAGACGTGGGTAGGTGTCAAAACCCAGAAGGAAGTCATCACCGCAGGTCCTGTCTGCTTCCTTGTTGGACTGGCACACATCCTGGGCGTCGGTGGATTGGGATGGGATGTTCCGTGGGTCTAGGTCTAGGACCACCTCCTAGACCTTCCATCCCACCCTCTCCCAGCTCACAGTCTCCCAGCACATCCCAAGCTAAAACGTAGCTCTTTAGTTGCTTCCAGCTCACAGGCTTGGTGGGAACTCAGTGTTCTACCGGGCAGGGGTGGCAAAGTCTGCTCAGACAGAAGGGAGGTGTGTGACACAGTCATGGCATCTGAATGAGGCTGCACAGGAAGACCTCACTGACAAAGGGGGTAAGGAGGGGATCTTTGCCCTTCAATGGGCAGTTTCTGGTAGATTTCATTCTTTGGTTAAAAGTGTAGCTTCCTCCAGCTGCCTGTGTTTGAAATACGTATATCCCTGGAAGGGATTATGCATTAAACTATTAACCCGACACTGGGCCTCCAGGAAAAGGGGACTTTGGGGAAGTCTGGTTCTGGAACAGGAAAAGGGTGTGAAGCCCCAAGGGGCAGCCCTGTGACCACGTGGTGGGGGATCAGGGAGGAGACTCAGGTTACCTCCAGCTACATCTCCTCCTTCCCACCCCTTCCCTCCCCGCCCCGAAGTCCTCTCTATCTCCTAACCTGGTGCCCCAGCTCTGCCCCTGCTAACAAGGGTGGTTTCTGCTCTGTTAATCGGGTTCAGGTCAAGACGTGGGGGCTCCACAGGTTTTCCTTCCAGCCCAAGTAAGAGCGCAAAGGAATGGCACTGTCTGCCTTTAGACCGGCTTCCAAGGGGCCCGGGCGTGCCGCTGGCCTGAACCCCGGCGCCGGTCTCAGGGCCCGCAGCCCCAGCTCACCTTTCCGGTCCGCGGCGCCCGGTGCCCTCCTTCCTGTAGGGCGGTGACTCCGGGGTTTCCCAAGGCGCTGGCCAGGGGGGCGGGGCTGCGTCCCAGGTGGGCCTTCGGGGGCCGTCCCGCGTCCGGCTTTGGCGGGTTTTTTCCAAAACTCTTTGCTCCCCAGCGCGATAGTCCCCGACCCTGCGTCTGTCCTGGTGGGGGTCTCGGTCCCGTCCCCGGTCCCGGTCCCGCTCCCCGTCCCTCCGCTCGCCACCCCTTTTCTCCCTGCGCCGGTCCTCCGCTCGGTCCCGCGGTCGCTCCGGGTGCCGGTCCTGCTGTCGCTCGGGGTGCCGGTCTCGGTCCGGGCGCGGGTGCCTGTCTGGGTCTCTCGGCCGCGTCCGGGGCTCACGAGTCCCCGACGTGCCTTCCATGGCCGGTCGCCGCGTCCCGCCCCGGAGCGACCCGAGGGCAACAATCAGCACCAGCTTCCCGGGTAGGTGGCCGAGCCCGGGGCGGGGCGCACACCTGCGCGCACACGCACTGGCGGCGCTCGGGCCTGGAGGGCGTCCACCGAGCGCGCGCCGCCGGCAGGAGGCGCAGTTGGGCGCGGCTGAGTCCTGGGGAGGAACCGGAGGATCCCTCTGCTGTGCACCCCAGGAGCCGGCGACCGTCAGCCCCGAGGGACCCTCCGTGAGCCCACAAAGTGCGCGGCCTCTGGAAGCGAGCTCTCCGCGCGCAGGTCTGGGGGAAGTTGGAGAGTTCCATTTTGGATATGTGAAACTTCAGGTGGCTGTATTTCATCCAAGTGTAGATGTCCAGTTGCAATAGCATATATGAATGAGTCTGGAGTGTGTGTGTGTGTGTGTGTGTGTGTGTGTGTGTGTGTGTGTGTGTGTGTGTGTGTGTGTGTGGTGTGGTGTGGGGGTGGGGGTTAGGGAGCTGGAGATACTCCTTGGGAGTGAAGGGGCTCACCTGAGGCGGGAGGGAGTGAGACAGGAGAAGGCCTTGGGCAGAGCCACAGGGAAATCTAACTTCAGAGCTAAAATGCCCGAGGATTAAGGAATGAGGAGTGAGGAAGGAGGAAACCAGGAGGGCTGGGTCACCAGGCTTGTCTGCACATCCCACAGAATCGCTGCTATGAGTTCCATCAGCCTTTCTTTCCAGAGTGGAGGGGATGGGGCCCAATTGCAGGACCTTCCACAGGTATTTATTAGAGCAAAGCTCCATTCTGAGCCTGGGACAGCAATGGGGACTGAGGACCCCTGGTGAAAGGCAGACACAGGGTGGTTTGTAAAGTGGCAGAGCCCTTCCTCTCTCAGACCCTGGGCCCCCTGGAACCCTCTTTTTGAATAAACAACCTCCCGTACCAGCTCACCTTTTTGTTGCATTTGTTTTGGTTTTACATTTTTACCTTCCTACATTAATTAATGTCATTTTGACGCATTTATTCTATCAATAGCTAAAAACTTTTTTTAATGAAACATTTGAGTTTAGGTTCTAGACCAGCTGTGGGCAAACTACGGCCCGCGGGCCGAATCCGGCCCTTTTGAAATGAATAAAACTAAAAAAAAAAAAAAGACCGTACCCTTTTATGTAATGATGTTTACTTTGAATTTATATTAGTTCACACAAACACTCCATCCATGCTTTTGTTCTGGCCCTCCGGTCCAGTTTAAGAACCCATTGTGGCCCTCAAGTCAAAAAGTTTGCCCACCCCTGTTCTAGACACATGTAAATACTTCCACATGTATCTCCAAAGGACAGTGTTCTCCTAAATAACCACACTGCAAAATCACAGTCCAGAAATTTAGCATCGATATATTATTATCAAGAATACACCCCATATTCAAATTTCCCCTACTGTCTCAATCATCCAGTAATTTTAAAATATATTTTATTGATTTTTTTACAGCGAGGAAGGGAGAGAGATAGAGAGCCAGAAACATCGAAGAGAGAGAAACACCAATCAGCTGCCTCCTGCACACCCCCCACTGGGGATGTACCTGCAACCAAGGTACACGCCCCTGACTGGAATCGAACCTGGGACCCTTCAGTCTGCAGGCCTACACTCTATCCACTGAGCCAAATTGGTTAGGGCAAGTAAATTTTTTGATCCTTAAAAATTACCCAAATTTGGCCAGTGGGAGTCCCTTCAAGCTGCCTCTTGTGTGCTTTTGACATCAGGAGACATACCCTGATGTGCACATCAGTTTTTGTGGCTTCAGCTTGTGCCTGAACTGCTTTGTCTCCTGGCCTAACCTACCTCTTCCCTGAAGATCCCACTTTCCATGATGCTCTCTCAAGTGGAGAATGCTCGCTCCTGAGCCCCACTTAGGAATGGTCTGTTCACTTCCATATTCGGAGCCACCCACTACTCCTTTGAGGTTTGTGGTAGGTGGGTTATAAGATGGGATGGATGGGCTGGACACCCAACACAGCAGTAACTTAAACAAACATGATAGAAAGTTTATTTCTCTCTTGCAAGAGTTGGGGTTGAACTGGTGGCTCTGCTCTGTGAAGTTCTTGCAAGTCTAAGTTCCTTCTAGGTCAGCCGTGGGCAAACTACGGCCCGCGGGCCAGATCCAGCCCGTTTGAAATGAATAAAACTAAAAAAAAAAAAAAAAAAAAAAAGACCATACCCTTTTATGTAATGATGTTTACTTTGAATTTATATTAGTTCACACAAACACTCCATCCATGCTTTTGTTCCGGCCCTCCGGTCCAGTTTAAGAACCCATTGTGGCCCTCGAGTCAAAAAGTTTGCCCACCCCTGTTGTTGGTTGTTCTGCCACCCTTCAGGTGTCGCCGTCATTGGCAAGGTCTAAGATGCCTGGCTGCTGTGCCTACGTCCCAGCCCACAGGAAGGGAAGAAGTGGGGGCCAGGAATGGCTTCCTCTATTCCTTTAAGAGTGAGACCCACAAGTTGTGGACGTAGCTTCTGCTCACATTATGCTGGCCAGAAGATAGTCACAGGACCATAGGTAACTGCACAGGAAGCTGGGAAGTGTAGCCATGTACCCAGCTAAAAACTGGAGGGGGGTCATGCTGTGAGAGTGAGGGGGAGAGTGGATGGCAGGGGACAATCAGGAGTCTTATTCATTCAGTTTCTGCTCCGCTTGGATGATGTCTCTCATTAGCTGGTGTGAGTTGGTTCCTGCACACTACTGCCTGCATTCCACTCACAGCTGTTCTTTGACATCACTGGGACTCTGTGGGTCTTAAGTTTTTTTCCCCCCTGATTATATATATATATTATTTTTTAAAATTTTATTTCAGAGAGGAAAGGAGAGGGGGAGAGAGAGAAACATCAATGATAAGAGAGAATCATTGATCAGCTGCCTCCTGCACGCCCTCTACTGGGGATTGAGCCCACAATCGGGGTATGTGCTCCAACTGGGAATTGAACCATGATCTCCTGGTTCATAGGTCGATGCTCAACCACTGAGCCACGCTGGTCAGGCATAATATATGTAATTTTTAAAAAAATACTCAACAGAGGATATGTTTTCATTGACTCTAGAGAGAAGAAGGCGAGGGGGGAGAGAGAGAGCGAGAGCGAGCGACTGAGAAGGAAGAGAGAAAGAGAAAGGAAAACATCGACCCATTGGCCTCCCATATGTACCCTGACTGGAAATTGAACCTGTCACCCTTCAGTGCATGGGATGATGTTCCAACCAACTGAGCCATACTGGCCATGAACTAATATTTGTCATTTTTAATAAGTCAATTTACACGAGTAAGGAAGGAGTGAGTTAGAGCCCAATGAAAATTTGATGGGTTTATTTGATTTTAGTTTCTGTTCTTTTACTTTAGTTTTTGTGGACGAGAAGGTTAGGAGCCAATACCCTAACCTCTCTTTTGCCTTAGTTAATAATATAATGTTTTTTGGCTCTGGCCGGTGGTGGTCAGTGGTTAGAGCATTGGCCTGTGTACCAAAGGGTTGAGGGTTCAATTCCAAGCCCAGTCAGGGTGTGCACAGGAGGCAACCAATCAATGTGTCTCTCTCACATTGATGTTTCTCTCTCTCTCTTTCTTCTTTGCCCTTCCCTTCCTCCTAACCCTCTCTCTAAAAACAAACAAAAATCAATGAAAAAAAAATACCCTCAAGTGAAGATTAACAACAACAAAATAACCACAACATTTTTTGGTTGTTCCACTGTTCTTCCAGGAGCCCTTGGACAGACACGATGCCTCTGTGGGAGGTCACAGGAAACGCCCAGTGTTCCACCAAAACAAAGAGCACATGCATATGGCAGATGGCCCACGAGTCGAGAAAAGGAAAATATTTGCCAAGGTGCATCCAAGGTCATTTTCCAAAAAAGGTAAAATCACGAACACATACTAAAGATTTCTTTAAACTCAAAAGTCCCCAAGAGAATCAGGCAGGTGTTACAACAGGTTCAGGAGAGAATCTTAAGGACAGTCCCATTGTAGATCAGGAATAACGAGATGAATGTACAAAGGAGGCAGAACTGATTTCTTCCAAAGGGGGAAAGCAGCATCCGTCGAACCTCTACCAGACAGGATTAGCTCTGCATGTCTACAAATAAGAACTTTTTTTTTTTTTTTGCATTGCTCTTAATTACCTGTAATTTACAGCATCGTAAAATAGCATAGTTTTCTACTAAAGCCCAAATGGAAAGACATGGCCTTTGCTTAAAATGGAAAAGTGGGATTCTAAATGGTCTTAGAGACTTTGGGGCTTGGGGAAGTGTAGCCTGAGAGTAACCCCAAGGAGAAAGGATACCCATTTGTGGGTCTGACCTCTTAGAACAGAGGTTGGGCATCTATGTTTTTCAATAGTTCCGTGAGGCACCCCATTTGAGAACCAATCTGTTAATATAAGTACCATTCAATTTTCCCTCCTAAAGGAGAGCCCAATGCAAGAATAATCTAAATGCCTAGTTAAGTATTTTTCTTTAAAAGTGAACATTTCTGTCGGTTGGGGCACCTTCTGTGGCATTTGGGGACAGAGGGTTTACTTTCCCAGTTCTGTTCTGACTCTGAGGGGGTTCACGGAGCCATCCCTGTCAGGGAGGTGGTCCTTCAGGCGTGAGGATCAAGGGGCAATGCCTGCCTATTCCCCACCTTCTGACTCTCGCTCAGGTGGCAGAGGGGACTTTTGATCCAGTTAAGCCTGCAGCGGGGCAGAGCTGGCCAGTAGGTGGCAGTGTAGGCTCAGGCTGGGGCGACTCACACAAAGCCTCTCTTCCTGAGCCTGAGCACTTGCTTGCCCATGTGAGCCTCATCACTGGGGTGATACAGAGCGGGCAGCTCAGTTCATTATTTCCTGAACTGCGCATGCTTCCTAAGTGACCTTGGGAAGTTACTCAACCTCCCTGTGCCCAAGGGTTTTCATATGCAAACTAGGGGTAACTGTACCGATCATAGGATTACATAGTGTAAATATGTGTAAGCACTTGAAGCAGTGGCTGGCAGATATTAGTATCGTAAAAATATTGGCTGTTTTTATTGTCATTGTTATGATTTATCAGGGACTGTGGATGTCTAAGTGAATAAGACAGGCCCTTAGA